AACCATATATCAGAAGGGCGCTCGAAAAAAGTGGCTGATTTTTTATGTTAAAAAGGTTCCGCCTTGCACGTAATTTTGATACGTGAAATCGTTAAAATAGTTACCAGAGGGCCCATTTTCAATTTCTCCTGCATCCTTGCAATAGCCCCTATTTGTCCCATATAAGGTCTAGTCTGCGGCATTGCATCAACAGACTGAATTACGGAGTACTGATTTCCAGGCAGAGCCATCGTGGGGGTAAGCAAAAAAATTATCAATACGGAGTACTTCACACATCGTAATAAATGGCGTCTTCATGAGAGTAGTTTGTGGTTCAACTGGCCGGTCGGCCAGTGTACGAATGTACGAAATACTTACTCCTGTTTTCGCGTATCATCTCTGCGCAGTCGCACATGCTCGACGCCTGTCAACCGTGCAAACAAACTTTTCCGCACTGTGTATTCTTCGTATCTGCACTGACGAGGATGTCAGACGAGGTGGTCTCGTATGTTTGCTGTTCCTTAGGACGAAAGCGCTTGGCATTCCTTGTGTGACAAAAATGACCCAGACACCCATGGTGCTAGGATCATTAGCCCCAATAAAAAAATTCCAGGAACAACCAGACTCTTTAGCCACGGACTTCCATTTCGCCTACTTCTGTTTGCAGCCAGCGGCGAAACAACGTGCCACTTCACCGTGACTCGCGCTTCGCATCTCTCACAAGAGTAAGATACACGATCCGTATTTGTGTTACTATTCCAGCAGTGTCGTAAGCAGTGGCCTAGTTGCGTGTATGAAACAGGCGCAAGACAGCAATATCAGTCGGACTAGTCGCGGCCGTAGGAATAGAGCTGCGTTCGTAAATCGTTGAGGCGGCTTTGATTCGTGAAAAGCGATGGTGCATATTCAAGGAATAGGGGGAGGCACTCTGGGTTCTGTTGATCGTACTCAGAATCAGCGCCTACAATCCATGCAACTGTTTCCGTGTTTAGACTTCACAGCAAGGACCCCCCCTCCTCTCGTTCTTCCGTCGACAATTGGTGCTGACGCAACACGAGTCGCAGGTTCAATACAACGTCCGCTGGCAGGTTACGTGTACTTGTCTTCAGGCCCCCCACATGCCCTAACTCCCGCCCTGTCATGGCCAGTAAGGCTTATGCGCTAGACCCAGCACGGCCAGATTTCCCTTGTAATTCTGTTACGCTCCCTATTTTTCGCTACGCGCTAGTTGCCCTTCTACTAAAGGACGCCGCCCAGCGGGACTGGTTCATCCCTTGGATGTATAGGATACTTTGATTTGTCTGACGTACTTTCTCAACCAGCGCGTCGCTGCTCCTAAAAAGGTCCTTTTTTTTTTTTCGCTTTTCCGGGACCTCCTTTCCAGTCTCAACTGCATCTTAGCCCGAACGGCATCCCTTGACCTTCTCCCTTTCAGCAATCCATGTTCGTATCCTTTTTGGTTCGTCTCTATCGTCTTTTCTTTCCTCCCATTTACCTTGCAAACTTGTCGTTTTGGGCTTCATTTCCATTTCATTATCTACCCACGTCGACTATTTTTGGACTGGCACTTACATACCGTGAACCAACGCCCAACTCGGAGGTTCAAATATCCTTTGCTTCTTTTACCTCTTCCGAGCATTGCTTGGTGTCGTCGGCCTGCTCGAAGCATTTATCGACGATTACTCCCTTCGCTCCCATTCCCATTGGATAGCCCTAGCTCTGATACCGAGAGTCACTCCGATAATTCTCGCTGGCCGTTATTCGCAATGGCCAAACACCACGATCGCGCGGAAGGCGCCTCCGCATCGTTCACATCCAATAACGACATCGAGATGCGCGACGAGAACGAGAAGCTTGCTCGGCTAGATCACAGCAACAACTCCGAGGAGAGCGAACGCACAAAGGTGCCGGAAGAGATGGAAATGGGTGACGAACGCGAGAATGCCGGTCTGCTGCCCGCCGAGACGGCTGAAAAGGTCGAGCCGAAGCGGCCTGCTTGGCTCGGCACCGTCCTGTGGACGACCATCAACACCCTGGCGACCATCGGCATCGTAAGTGGCAACTCCGTTTCTCTAATGTTATAGTACTTTTACTTCCAGCTTATCTTTCTAACACAAGCGTCTTTGTAGGTGTTCACCAACAAAGCAATCTTTTCCGACCCATCCCTCAAGCTTGCGCAACTGACGTTCGCCGCGTTCCACTTCACCATTACGTGGTTTACGCTCTATGTCCTGTCGCGTCCCCGGTTCGCCTTCTTCCAACCCCGCCGTGTCACCATCACAGAGATCATGCCGCTGTCTGTTGCCATGGCCCTTAACGTCATCCTGCCCAACTTGTCTCTCGCTTTCTCCTCGGTGACGTTCTATCAGGTGGCCCGCATCCTGCTGACCCCGACCGTGGCCGCGATGAACTTTGTCCTGTATCAGCAGAAGCTGCCTCGCCTTGCCTTGGCTGCCCTAGTTCCGGCCTGCCTCGGTGTCGGCATCGTGTCCTACTACGATTCCCTGCCGGCGGCTGACGCCAACGTCAAGACAACCTCCTCGCTTGGCATCATCTTCGCCTTCTCCGGCATCTTCGCATCATCTCTGTACACGGTCTGGATTTCAAGTTTCCACCGCAAGCTGCAAATGTCCAGCATGCAGCTGCTGTTCAACCAGGCCCCGGTCTCTGCATTCCTGCTGCTCTACGTCATTCCGTTCATTGACACTTTCCCGACCTGGAGCACTGTCCCTGTCAGCCGCTGGGTGATGATCCTGATGTCCGGTGCCTTTGCTTCGCTGATCAACATCTCCCAATTCTTTATCATTGCCCAAACTGGTCCGGTCTCAAGTACGGTTGTTGGCCATCTCAAGACTTGCACCATCATTGCCCTCGGCTGGGCCACTTCTGGTCGTTCGGTCGGTGACAAGTCTGTCTTGGGTGTTTTCATTGCCGTCGGCGGCATCATTGCGTACGTTAACCTTCCGCTCCATTCGTGAACGGCGTTAATTCCATACATGTCCATTTGCTAACAACACTAGTTACTCCTATGTCATGATCAAGGAAAAGCAGAAGGCCGCGGCCCTTGCTGCCAGAGGCCAGTAAATGACGACAACGATGGCATCAACAAAAAAGAGAGCTGTAATGTATTAAACAACACCTCGGCCGTGCTGACGAGGGACGACTTCGCCGTGCGAGGAACAAAGTGTCCGTGATCTCGATCTGTAGCTTGCATTTGTGTTGTCGCGCCTTTTTCTCGCGCTTTCCTTCTTTTCTCTTACTTTTCCTACTGATTTGTACTTTTTCAATTATGTTTTCTTGGGTCTTCTCTTTATGGCGTTTGGAAACGGCAGGACTGAGCATATAGTCTTTTGGGGATATACAAACGACGGCCCGTATTTTTCTGGACCTGGTTACTTTATTTTGCTAGCACATATAGAAAACATTGAGAGTATGGGACATGTGTAAGGAATAGAAGGGAATTTTATGAACTGTATTCAAGTTGCGTTGAGAGGCATAAGAAACTGTCACATGTGCCACCTTCTCGTCTTGTTGAATATGAACTGGTTTTATTAAATACGTAGGTTTTGAAACGTCGCGCGAGCAGCCCCCGAGGGCGGGGACGATAGTGAGTCAAAAGGCTCAGAAGCAACGGCATTTAATTGTTCCGTGGCCTAAAGCAGACTTTCTTTGTGGTGCGTGCCCCTCGACGATAGCGCGGAGTCAGAGCTTTGGCGAAGGCATAGGGCACCACTGTGGACTACAACTGACTGTAAAATTGTTCGAGCCGCGGCCAAGGAGTTCTTTTTATCTGGAACAGTCCGGACTGACTCACCTGCAACTCAACAACAGACAACACACTTCCGATCGCCAAGCACTTCTCAATTGATGCGGTCGTTTGCATTTCGCCGTCTTTACTCTGCGCAGGCTGGTCTTGGACTTATAACTTCGTCGCCCCTCGTTCGGCAACCAAAGTTTTCCGCACTAGCATCACCGTGCAGCTTCGCCGTTCCCCGTGCCCATACAAGCCGCCACAGCTACAAACCTCTCATATTCGACCTTCGACGAGCCATTGGCACTTTCTCGACGTCCTCTGCCCCATCCACGGACCCGACGGTCACTGCGTCCGACAAGAAAACGAAAAAAATAAAACCCGGCCACAGCCTGCTGCTACCAAGATGACGACAGCGGCCACCACGCTCAAGGGCCAGCCCCTCGACAAGCAGGTTCTGGACTCAATGCTGCGCCGGCGCCTGTTCTACACGCCGTCGTTTGAGATCTACGGCGGTGTCTCCGGTCTCTACGACTACGGCCCGCCAGGCTGTGCGCTGCAGGCGAATATTGTCGACCTGTGGCGCAAGCATTTCATTCTCGAGGAGGACATGCTGGAGGTCGACTGCACGGTGCTGACACCCCACGAGGTGCTTAAAACCAGTGGTCACGTCGACAAGTTTGCCGACTGGATGTGCAAGGATTCCAAGAGCGGCGAGATTTTCCGCGCCGACCACTTTGTCGAGGAGATCCTCGAGCAGCGCCTCAACGGCAACAAGGAGGCCCGCGGCCACAAAGTCGACGAGGCTGCCAAGGACGACCCCAAGAAGAAGAAAAAGCTCAAGGGCAAGGGCCAGGAGGCCGTGCTCCTTGAGGACGCCGTCGTCCAGGAGTACGAAGAGACGTTGGCCCAGATCGACAACTACAACGGTGAGCAGCTTGGCGAGCTGATCAAAAAGTTCGATCTGCGCAACCCGGCCACGGGCATCCAGCCCGAGCCACCTGTCGCCTTTAACCTCATGTTCGGCACGCAGATTGGCCCCAGCGGCGGTCTGCAGGGCTACATGCGCCCTGAGACGGCGCAGGGGCAGTTCCTCAACTTCTCGAAACTGCTCGAGTTCAACATGCAGTCCATGCCATTTGCGTCGGCTTCCATTGGCAAGTCATACCGTAACGAGATCTCACCCCGCGCAGGTCTTTTGCGAGTGCGCGAATTCCTGATGGCCGAAATTGAGCACTTTGTCGACCCCGAGGGCGGCAAGAAACACCACCGCTTCCACGAGGTGGAGAACATTGAGCTCGTGCTCCTCGACCGCGATACGCAGCTGTCTGGCAAGACCACACCCCGCACACTGACGATTGGCGCTGCCGTACGCGATCGTGTGGTTGACAACGAAACGCTCGGCTACTTCCTGGCCCGCATCCACTTGTTCCTCGAGAAGATTGGCGTCGACCAGACTAAGATCCGCTTCCGCCAGCACATGGCCAACGAGATGGCCCACTATGCCACGGACTGCTGGGATGCCGAGCTCTTCACATCGGCCGGTTGGGTCGAGTGCGTCGGCTGTGCCGACCGTAGCGCCTACGATCTGACGGTGCATGCTAAGAAGACAGGCGCGCCGCTGATTGTGCGCCAGCGCCTCGAGACGCCCAAGGTGATTGAGGAGTGGACGGTGGACATTGACAAGAAGAAGTTCGGTCCCCGTTTCAAGAAGGATGCCAAGGTCGTCGAGACCGCGCTGCTGGCCCTCTCGCAGGACAAACTCGAGGCCCTGTCCAAAGACCTCAAGGCCAATGGCACCGTTACGATTGACGTGGCCGGCGTGGCTGACGGCAAGGCCGAGGTGTCGAGCGACCTGGTTGCGATTGAGTTCACGAAGCGGACGGAGAACGTGCGCGAGTTCACACCCAACGTCATTGAGCCGTCGTTTGGTATTGGTCGCATCCTGTATTCGCTGCTGGAGCACAACTACTGGTCGCGTGGCGCCGATGGCGGCGACGAGGCTCGCGGTGTACGTTACAATACGAAATATTTATGTTCCTCACAATCTTCTATAACTAACGTCTTTTTTAGGTCATTTCTTTTGTTCCAGCCGTCGCGCCGACCAAGGTCTTGATCGTGCCCATTTCTTCCAAGGACGAGTTCAAGCCGATTGTGCGTGGCCTGTCACAGAAGCTGCGCGCCCTGGGCGTGGCCAGCCGTGTCGATGACTCCACCGCCAGCATTGGTAAGCGGTACAGCCGTAACGACGAGCTGGGTACACCCTTCGGTGTCACCATTGACTTCCAGACGGTCAGCGATGGCTCCGTAACGCTACGTGAGCGTGACTCGACAGTGCAGGTGCGTGCTTCGGAGGACAAGATTCTGGAGGCAATCCAGGCCCTTACCAAGGGCTCCAAGACGTGGAAGGATATTCAGGCCGAGCTACCGGCTTTTGAGTCGCAGGAGACAGAAATCCCCGTCCGTTAAAGGAAACGGTTGGGAGTGGTGGTTATAAAATATAATAGATTTCCACATACGAGCGCAACATTGAGCAGCGGGAAAAACGCAAAGTATAGGAGTACATTCCTACAACATATGTGTAAAGAAGCTACGTGGGTTGCTCTGCAGAATGATCCTCCATTCGCAATAGCACTACGCCTTATACCATGTCTTGGCTACTTGCGGGAGAAGGTATTAACACGGCGTTCATCAGGCGAGTTGCCAAAAGCATCCGGCTCCGTAAACTGTAGAAGTTGGCCCAGCAGGCTTGAAAAGATAAGTAGGAACACGGTACCCAGCTCAAATCATGTGAGTTTTGCTCTAGTCTCTGCCTTACACATACTTGGAGCTACTTCTCATATTGCCAGCATATCTATGCCGCTCTGGTCCAGGGTGGCAGAGGCATATATGATTGCACCAGAGAAGAAGCACAGCCTCGCCTGTTCCAGCTTCATTCGCTGCCCGTTATTCTCATCTTCCGTCACCCGGTCGGTTTGAATATCCATTTTTATGTCTTCTCTCCATATTATTCAACGGCTTTATCTGACGGACAGCCGGCAGAAGAAAAAAGGCAGAGTATCGTACGACTCTGATACAATCGACCGTAGATCTTTAAAGACGGGAACCCATGGCAGTTCTAGAAACGTTGATCCAAGAAGGCGACCAACTCGGCATCAGGGTAGAAACACATGACGTGCGTGGACTCTTGGCCAGTGTCCGTGCTGACGGACAGGGGCGGGAGCTGGTAATTTGTAACCCGATCCGCAGATTGGAGACGAAGTGTCCTGGGGTAGCCCAGTGTGCAGGCACGAAAGTAAAAGCTTCTTTCCCTTTCTGTTCCTCAGAGATTCCTGCTGCTGAACCTTCCCTCTCTATACCGCCGAGGATGGCAAAGTTCTCATGCATGGAAGTTTTTCTTCTGATCGTCGGCCGCATTGCCTGCATGGTCGTTGCCTTGCCACATTGCCAGCCTGCTGTCAAGTTGCACGCCGTCGATTCTCATAAAACAAGCCCTCCAGCTCCCGATTTGTGCGGCGCGGCTAAATTGTCTGCTCAGACTAGGTGGCTTTGCAATACCAGCAAGTTGCCCACACGTGCGCGACAACAAAAGGAAACTTTGATATTTGATACTGGCTCCCATTTCCAACGTTCAGAATAAGCGTGCTGGCACGTAGTTACGTAAGCCGGTGAAAGCATCCAGATGACGATTTTACAGTAAGTAATATGTTCGATATGCTGCCAGAAGAATGCAACGTGCTCATGGACGATATTTAAAAACACACGGAGCGCGCAAAGGGTGCATGGGCAATCGACGGGGCACCAGCGTAGCACCACAGTGACAATGTTTATGTGTCGTACGGAACCATCCATACATAGCACCATATCTCGCATTTGTTTTCAGGAAGCGAAGCCGTGAAGAAGGCATTGTCGCGTCGTCCTCGGCAGCAGACACGGGTAAGAATGGGTCGCTGTAAAAGGCATTTCATGGCTCGGAAATGGAGCGCAGAGCCTATATACATGCAACTCACCTTCCGAGAAGCCAAAGGGAAGCAGGCCTCGAGGCTAAAGAAGACGCTTCGACCAGAAAAAGGACCAAACAGGCTAGTTGACATGCGCTGCTGTGACATGAAAAGTAGCCGACCGTTGGCTGGCTGTGAAACATTTCGAGGGGGGTACTTTGTAAATATCACAGCCCCTTAATTCTGAAATAGAGCCCGCCTCCAGCTTGTGCAAGCGGCCCGAGAATGGCCTGGACCCGAGTAGCGATGCCTGGCCAGATTAGGAATGTAAGATTATACGACAGATCACGGTTGCGTCCGTCTTGGGCTACACTTTCGAAGTCTGTACGGTTGGACATAAATGTATCGGACGGGTGTGTTGTGCGAGGCAAATGAGGGAGCCTAAAGTTGCCAGAGGTGAGTGCTGAGAACGTCGTGGGTGGTAGCTGAGTATCGTGCATCGTATTGTATGATCAGATCACAAAACATTCCGAGATAGTCGAGATTGCCCACCTCCTTCTGTGCGTCTTCCTCATTTCTGCAATAGTACGGAATATTACTGCGTACAGAGCGAGAAAGTCCAAACAGAAACGAAAAGTTGGCGCGTTAACCTAGGGGGCTCCAAAAAACAAAGCAAACAACGGTCTGATTTCTATCAAGTAGCAACCAAGACTCGTCTTGCAGGAACAAGGGGTAGAAGCCCTTAGCCAAACCCCCTCCTTTCCTGGCCTTTTGCGCCATGCCCCGCTTGCACATAGCGGGGTACTTGTCGATGGCGGTCGTCGACACAACGAACCACAAGGGATGAGGGGTGCTCGGATGTAGCACGTTAACTGGGCCACACCCCTTCTCTACTGGGGGACCTTGTTTCACTGACCTCACCGCAACGCCTCCTCATAAGAATTCAGTTGTCTCTACGAATTATGGACTAGCCAGTAGCCAGTGCAACGTCCATCCTTCAGAGCGGCCTCTATTCAGCAGACGCCAGGCTACTTTCCACCTTCCACGCTGTGCCTTGTCTCTGTTGATAAGTTGCTCCTCCGTTAGTACGGAGTAGTCTCCGTTCACGCTAACCTGACGCCCACCGGCCAGCCGCTGCCGCCACCCACCAATTCCCCTCTTATCCACCCACTACGACGACCCCTGGTTCGTTGGGTTGTGTGCTTTCACCCGCCGACAACCTTCCCTGTCGGCCATGGTCCCTCCCACCCTCCCCTCGCTCGTCTCCTTTTCTCTCTCCACCGCCCAGTACATGTACTTGCGCACACTATTCCGGCCACCAACTAGAGAAAAGCCCAACGGCGCCCGCAACGAATCACCCAGAAAAGGACCGTACAACTCGACCGTGAGAGGAACACGGGCTCTTTCTCAATTCGGTCAGTCGCCCTACTTGCTTCTCTTTCAACTACTTTCCTTTCACCGCCCGACCTTTCTTTGTCTGCTTCATTGCCTCAGCCTCGCTCTTCCCAGACCAAGAAGAAACCAGAAAGACGAGAGTAGCAACCTCTGGCCGTTCTCGTCCGACTACAACGACAGTGCCCATAGCGTTCTTTTGCAAACCCGCCTTGTCCACCGCCTCCCTTCTGTCCTCTACATTCAATCCCGCATCATTTTTCTCTTCTCACTTCTTGTCGTCTCCCATCTTGCCAATTCTCGAGACCAAGCCATCTGCTTTTCAGCGTCGCCGCCGTTCCGCCTGTCTTTTGTTCCCGCCCACTGCGTGCTTCCTGGCTCGCTCTTTCGACCAATGCTAGCTTGAGACTGTTCTTGCTCGCGACCAAACTGCACGCGGGACGACCTGCTCAAAATCGCCTCTCCGGGTCCAAAGTCAAGGCTCTACTCTTTGCTTATCACTCCTCCAACTCCCGGTTCACAAAGACCACCAAGGCAGACAACGTCATTCCGCTTCGTCGATTGCAACGAACAACATCCGTTATCCCCCTTGCCTGTCGCTTTTCACACCTCTCCGTTGCGTTCTCAAAGGACGTCGTTCTCGTTCGGCGGGCTACGTTGGGATTTGTTCTCAAGTCGGCTCGTCAATATCTACTTTTGCATAGTCTTTCTTCCAGTCTTTCTTGGATACTCGTCGTCCAAACAGTAGAGGAAAGACATTGACTTTTTGCTTTCCTCCCTATCTTTCTCGGCCTGTTTCTAGCTTCTCCTTTTTTAATCACCAGATATCGCCGCCGTCACAATGACTACACAAAACGGGTAAGTAGCATACACCTCTCTGTGTCGCTGGAGCGGCCTTGCATCGCGCAAGTGATCAATATATCGACGACTGACCGGACTCGAAATCTAGTAGCATCTATACCACCGGGCAGTTCATGAACCCAGGCCCGGCGCCCCGTCCACCAACGGACAGGCCGCGCTTGAACTTGACGCCTACGTCCAGCATCCAGTCCAACCTGTCTGGTCTGACAATTAGCTCGCCCATTCAACGCTCGGCTTCGTCAACGTACTCCGGTTCGACAATTTCGCTCCCGCTCGGTCGTCAAAACTCCAATGTCGACGGCCAAGGGGGTGTTGCTGTGATCAAAGAGGGCGTTGCTCAAGTTAAGGAGAGCAAAAACTTTATCCAGCCTTGGAAGCAAAAGTTTCTTGTCTTGCGGAAGGAGGCGCTTGATTTCCACAAGGTCGAAGGCGGCAAGGTCTCATACACACTGTTTCTCAAGGACGTCATCAATGTCGGCCGAGTCGAAGCTGCCGGTACCATTTTCGAGATCAAACGTCACTCTAACGGATCATCAACAAGCCCTGGCGACGACGATGGTTCCATTCGAACTCTCCAGATCCGCGTAAAGAGCGACGACGATCTGTACGAATGGATCGACTTCATTTACGCCCGCTGTCCCGGAATGGGCGGTGTGAGCAACCCGACCAACTTCTCCCATGCTGTCCACGTGGGTTTCGACCCCAAGACCGGCGAGTTTGTCGGCCTGCCGCCCGAGTGGTCCAAGCTACTCAACTCATCCGCCATTACCAAGGAAGATTACGAGCGCAATCCTCAGGCCGTGTTCGAGGTGCTCGACTTCTATTCCGACCTAACCAAGCGTGCCGAAAACCCCAATCAGTATTCGAGCTTGACGCCAACTCCACCAGCAAGTTCCATGCAGAACAAACAACTCGGCTACTCAAGTGGCGCATCAGTCGCACCACCCCGTCCAATGCAACCCGCCCAGACTATGCAGCAGACTATGCAAACTCGCAACCCCAGCAACAACTACCCATCTTCCAACCCTGGTCAGGGCGGCGCACATGTCCGCCCTTCTGCCTCGGAGGCTCAGCAACAGCGCCAGCAAATGCAAAACATGGCCAGCAACTACGTGAACAGTGGGTCATCCCAGCAAGATGATCTACGCCAGAAGCAGCAGCAGCAGCAGCAGCAGCAGCAGCAGCAGTACGAGACAGCTCAGCGGCAGCGGATGATGGAAATGGAAGAGCAGAACCGCAGAGAGCTGGAGGCGTACAACGCCTCACTGCCGAAGACGAAAGTTCCTTTGGCCCAGCAAGAACTCGGCGGGTTTTCCGGTGGCTCATCAGGCTCTTCAACGGACCGCTTCAACCCCAGCCGTGCGCCGCCGCCGGCCCCTAAGCCGGCCCAGGCTACCAGTTTGCGCGCCCAGCGTCCCGCACCAGCACCGCCCTCCAGTGCAGGTGGCTCTCAACGTCCAACTCAGGGTGGTGCTCCGCCGCCCATTTCGCGTGATCCCCCTGCTGGTCAACCGGGACAGGCTCCACGTATACAGACACGCCCAGATCAGCAGCAAGCCACCGCTCAGCGCTACCCAGCTAGCAACCAGACTGCTTCGGGCACCCCGCGTGCGAATGGCCAGCAACAGAGCCAGCCGCCATCACGCCTACCTGCACCTGTGAAGCCTCTCAATGTGGGCCCCAAGGCTGCCCAGCCAGCGGACGGCGTCAAGGCTGCAGAGGCCGCATTGACTGCCAAACCGCCACCGGAGCGGAAGCAGGATGTTCGCCTGTCGACAATGTCGGAGAACGAAGTCATGATTCGCCTCAAAGAGGCCGTTTCCAAGGACGATCCTAACTTGTCGTACTCGAAACAGAAAAAGATTGGCCAGGGTGCATCTGGCTCGGTTTATGTCGCTAAGGTTAAGGAAAGCGCCGTTTCGCCCGTTGCACGCACCATCCTTCGTGAACAGGGCAGCCGGGCTCAGGTTGCTATTAAGCAGATGGACCTTGCACATCAGCCCAGAAAAGAGCTGATCGTCAACGAAATTATGGTGATGAAGGACAGCAAGCACCGCAACATTGTCAACTTCCTTGATGCGTTCCTTCGCAACAACAACTCTGAGCTGTGGGTCGTCATGGAGTACATGGAGGGTGGCGCCCTAACAGACGTCATCGATAACAATCCGGTCATTACTGAAGATCAGATCTCTACTATCTGCCTTGAGGTACAATTACCCGTGTTTCTTTGCTATTCAACAGTCCACATTTTTTATCGACATACCTAACAAATCACTTCTAGACTTGCCGGGGTCTTCGACATCTTCACTCTCAAGATATCATTCATCGTGATATCAAGAGTGACAATGTTCTTCTTGACGCCCGTGGAAATGTCAAGATCAGTAAGTAACAAACAACAACAGAAGTTGGATGCTACTTCAAGAAGCTGGCGGAGATGAGCTAACTAAGTACAATAGCCGATTTTGGTTTTTGTGCCAAGCTCACCGATACTAAGAAGAAGCGCGCGACGATGGTGGGCACTCCGTACTGGATGGCACCCGAGGTTGTCAAGCAAAAGCCGTATGGCCCCAAGGTCGACATCTGGTCTCTGGGCATCATGGCTATTGAGATGATCGAATCCGAGCCTCCTTACCTTAACGAGGAGCCTCTCAAGGCCCTGTATTTGATCGCTACCAACGGAACGCCGCGCCTCAAGAAGCCTGAGAAGCTCAGCAAGGAGCTCAAAGCATTTCTGTCAGTCTGCCTGTGTGTCGATGTCACGAGCCGAGCTTCGTCACAGGAGCTCCTTGAACACGACTTCTTGAAGCACGGCTGCCCCCTTGGTAGCCTTTCGGACCTTCTTGCATTCAAGAAACACGCGAAGTAAAAGCATAACTATAAGATTTTCTCCTGCGAAGGTGGGGAACTGACACTTGAATATTCCTTTCGTCGTTTCGTCCAAGGCATTCAACTACAGGTTCGGTTGCTTTGTTGCAGTTCCTTTTGGCTTTTGTCTACCTTCTATTCTTCTCAACCACAGCTCCCTCCTTCCCTTCTCCCTCTTCATTCTACATCACTCTCGTCGTCATTTCGCACTTGCCTCAGTTCGCGGCTCATATACACTTGTCAATTGCATGCGTGTGCCAATTCTTGTTGTCGATTCTATGCTGACATTGGTTTTTCCTTTTGGTATTTCCTTTTCTTTTGATCGCTGTTTCCTTCCCTCTTTTCATCTGCACGGCATTTCTCTTCGTTTCTTTTTACTTGACACATCTTCTCCGCTGCCGTTGTGCAGTTTCTTCGTTTCTTCGTCTTTTTCACTTTTGGAGGGTGGGAGGGCGTTACAGGATCTCAAGAAGGCTGTTTCCCGTTCCATATATCGAGACAATTCGGAAAACAACAATTTTTTATTACTTTATGGGGTTTTTAGAAGTGACTTTACCGTAGGCCTGCCACTATCTCAAGTAAAATTCAAATATAATTTGCGCCATGCCTCTATCTTACAGGAAGCATAATAGACAGCGGGAATAATACCAGGGCCGGGATCGCGCATAAATTTTACTTTTCGATATTATGTAGAGCAGAACTTCTACATCGCACTCTTGCTCTGACGATTGAATGCTATCGCTTATGCATTATGGTATTATCAAAGTTGTCAGGTTTTCATCGTGAAAGCCAAACTTGCGGAGGAAGTTGTCGGTGAAGTAAAGTGGGTCGGATCCATCCAAACATTTTGTTTGTTATCCCTGAACCCTGCTACGAAGGTACCACCCTCCCTGACTTTGGTTGACAAGGTACCCACCAGTGGTCGTCTCTGTGACCCCTTGCCACTCTCCTTATTGTCAGGCCTTTCCCTTGTTGCCGCCTCTGCTAAGAGCAACTTTCCTGTGGCGCTGTGGTAGACTTTGCATACATCTGGGACTACGGTTTTTAGGAGGGGAAGGAGGGGTCATTCGTCCTCTCCAATCTTAACTTTCCCCGGACAACCAACATCAACAGCGAAAAAAAAACTGAACCCAGAAAAACCAACCAAACCCATACAGTCGCAATTTGGGAAAAGGTGAGCTGCCACCCTCCTTTGCCACACAACGTTTGCTTTGCATGCCCTACCTCTAAAGGAGCAAGAGAAAGAAAACTCCGCACAGTGCAGCCTGGTCGCATTGGATATTGACAGTAGCTCTATTAGGCACCATCTCTTCCTCTCCGTTCGCGCTACAAAACTCTCCCTCGACTCGAAATCCACGTTCAAATCCTTGCAGCTTCGGCCAGCTGTCCATACCTTTTCGAATACATACATTTTTTGATTCACATCTTTCAAATCAGCCATCATGTCGGGCGCCGAAGGCACAGAGGTCCCTAAGGTAAATTGTTTAAAGGCTCTATTGTCTCACCACTACCTTTTCACGCGCATTCAGTGTTCGCCGTTTGGTATGGGCACATGTTGGACATGCTAGCTGACAAAATCTTCACTTGTCAACAGACCACCGAGGAGCAGCCGGTCACTTCGTCCGCCATGTTCTCCATGTTCGGCGGTGGTGCCAAGAAGGAGAAGAAGGACGACGACGAGGACCGTGGTGATGTCTCCGGCAGCAACAAGGCACAGCGCGAGGCTGCAGCCGCTGCTGCGGCCGCCGGTGGCGATGATGTGAGTACTGCCTACATTTCGATTTTGCACAACCCAACCATGCCAACTAACACACTTTCCCTCTTGCCCAGGACGACCAGGTCCCCGAGTCAGAGGATGTCCACTTCGAGCCCGTTATCCGGTTGACCGAGAAGGTCGAAGTCAAGACCAACGAAGAGGCGGAGGAGCAGACGTTCAAAATGCGCGCCAAGTTGTTCAGATTCGTCCGTGAAACCAGCGAGTGGAAGGAGCGCGGCACGGGTGACGTACGCCTGCTGAAGCACAAGGAAAACGGCAAGACTCGCCTAGTCATGCGCCGGGACAAGACCCTCAAGGTCTGTGCCAACCACTACGGTACGATTGTCCACGCGGTCCTGTCTACACAATTTGATGCTATATACTAACCTCACTTCTCAGTTTTGTCGGATATGCGCCTGTCGCCCAATGTTGGCTCCGACCGCAGCTGGGTTTGGAACACCGCTGCTGATGTGAGCGAGGGTGAGGCTGAGGCCATGACGCTCGCCATTCGTTTTGCCAACTCTGACAGTACGTCTCCGTCTCTGGGTAGCCCAGTATAGTGTCTTGTATACTCGTCAGTTCCCGTTACTAACGTTGTATGTGTTTTTCAGACGCCAACCAGTTCAAGGACGCGTTTATCAAGGCCCAGATTGAGAACGGTGCCCCCGCCGAGGCCTCCGGCGACGTCGACGACGATGACGAAGAGGAGGCCAAGGAAGATTCTAAGGATGAGGCCAAGAAGGAGGAGAAGCAGGAGGTGCCAGCTGAGGCGGCCAAAGACGCATAGGGCGTTGGGCCCCTTTATGGTGTCCCTTTCTAGCAGAAGCGAAAAGAAAAGAAAAGAACTTTTCTAAACAGACACTTCTTCCAGCCAGAAGAAGCTCTACTTAGGGACCAATGTTTGTTGTCAACTCCCCCAACCTCCCACGAAACCATATTTGCTGTTTTCTGCCAAGCTCCTCGACACTACATGAAACCCTGCACTTGCTTATGCTGCCATGTTAGTAACTCGGCAGCATGCCTTCCAAAAGTGAACATCAACACTACGCATCTCTCATTCTAACATAACCCCCCCTGACTATGTCGCGATATTGTTCACCTCCACCCTTTCCCCCCCATTGATCCTTTCGAAATATAGCTGCCGAATTATCAGATCCGCTGCGGCCTCTGCTTCAATACGGGCCTATAAGGATCAGTTAGACGATGGTTCAGCAGGAAACATTACTCTCAAGCCTTGTGAGAAGGCACATGTTATTTGCAAACGCGTCGCAGTATACGAAGGAAGGACATGAGGAAACACCAAAAAGAAACAAAGTTCCCACGACACCTAGATAGTTGGTTAATACAATGTGTGCGACTTCCTAATAGTGGTGCAACTGATATAAAAAGGGGTCATTTAAATTGTCGGAGCATAAAAAGAACAACGAAACAAGAAAATAAAAACGATCGTGCGTTTATTAAGTCCAAGGAAGCGCAGCTGCCAACCATTGTTCTTCAACTGAAAGCATGAAAGGCGGGAGGTTCAAACTTTCACACTGTTCCTCAGCCACAAACCCAAACAGCCACACAGAGAGATTAGTCTAACCTAAAATAAAAACTGGGGCATACTACGCCAGCGAACATCTCCAGGTCGCGCCTCTTCGACCTCAGTACGTGCGAATGCCCATTCACATCCTTACGCGCAGTTAAAAGCTGTACGAATGCCGCAACGAGTTCAACAACGCCCTCCAAAGATAATTAAGACCTGCGACGGCAGCGATTGAAAATCAAAAACCCCCAAGAAGAGAACGAGACCCAGCGCCAATTCCCAGTAAAAACGAGCCTGGGTTTGATGAAGCAGACACCCAGTAAGTGCACAAGCGTGTGTTGTCTTTCACCTGGACTTTGGTCCCGGTCTTGCTCAAAAGAGCCCCCCTCCCCTTCGCACCCGGTGCCTGCTCCTCCACCTGTTCCAGCTCGCCTCGAGTCGCGCCTTGCCTTTCCTTCCATATAATTCTCTCCCCGGCCATTGCCACAATCAAGCCGAAGACGACTGACTCCACGCCCAGGCAAGAAAAGGCCGAAAAGCCTGGGCTTAGTGCATCGCGAGAAGCTTGGAGATGTGAGAACGAACTGGGAAAGGAACTAGGACAGACCGGATTTCGGTCCGAACCAGATCTCAACCGACCTAGACGAGTTCAATGTCGCTTGTGCCAGTTCATGTACAACCATTGCTGACATACATCATATCCACAGTAGCCAGCTTACCCTCAAGACCGTACTAGCAACCGCCACGATGATTGTTGAGGTACAACTACCATAGCAATGCCTCCCTTCCTGGTTTTCGGCTTTTTTGGTCAATCACGACTCAAGTCTAACCTTGTCCCTCTCGAAATCTAGCGCCGTGTCAAGCTCATCACAGAGCAGCACAACATGTTGGTCGTTGCCCAGAAGACCCTTGCAGAACCAAAGCTGTAGCACATTGCTTCGAATATACTGGCTCATATTGGCTAACAACAGAATGCGTTCTTGCGACACAGCCCAAAGCCTCCTCAGATGGAAGGCTACCCGATGAAAGAATGGACCGTGGAGGTCTACATCCTGGATGAGGCGGGCAAAGAGAAGCCGGCCCGTTGCTTCCAGAAGGTTGTTTACAACCTTCATCCTTCGTTTGAGAGCCCAGTACAGAGTACGTCACGCGCACCGTTGGAGTACCGCCAGATCCATTCGAGAATAATCTGGCAGCTAATGCGACGCAGCCTTCCACGAACCGCCGTTCAAGTGCACCAACGAAGGCTGGGGTGAATTCGAGATGACTATTGACTGCTACACGACGGAAAAGGGCGGCAAACAGTCTATCCTCCACGACCTAAACTTTGCCGAACCGACATACGAAAACATACATACTATCCAGTTCAAAAACCCGTCCCAGGCTCTCCAGGCGATTCTACGCGAAACCGGCCCCCTACCCACCGACGAAGACCGCAAGGCGCGGAAGGTACAGGATACGACTACAAAGAAGAAGAAGACATACGACTTGGAAAAGATGGCCGATGTCATCCCACGACTCAACGAGGATGATCTCCTTCACATTATCCAGCTGATCCATGACAACAAAAACGATGATACATACATTATGAACAACCCCGACGGTGCGTTATCTGTGTTTATACCCTCTCCCCGCCTTAAGACATTCCAATTCGTGCGTTTACTGATGTCGGATCGTATGTGCAGCCGGCGAGTTCTCTATCGACCTGTATACCATGCCTGACAACCTGTGTCGGGTAATGTGGGAGTTCTTGGTACGCATCACCTGACCCATTCTCCCTCGTCATGCTGCCCAATATTTGTGCTATGCCCTTGCACCTCGCAGAACCCTTCCGTACCGATATAAATGCCTAACGTAGCCCAACTTTAGAGCCAATCCCCCGAAGGCCATCGTCTCCGATAAGGCCCGATACCGTCGGGCCCCGGTGAGGACACAGACCTGGCCATGCATGTGCTCTGGGTTTGTACTACATAACCCTATGGTTTTGCAAACATATTCGTGCGATTCCTACGTGAATGAACGCATTCAGGTGCCCGGCAACCTTGCCGTCTCGTTCAGTTTATCTATGTCAAATTCTCGAAATGAGCGAGGGCTTATGTTGTGTTTCATGCATGGCTTCATGAATCTACTTCCTTCTGTACATTACGGAGGGCAGCCTATGCGCTTTACAATATTCTTTACTTGGTTGGGGATAAAAGGAACCTTTTACAAGTTGTTGTGGTACAGTTTTGCGGCAGCGTTAGCTATATTTTTGGTGCGCGGGTTTCACGGTTTTGGTGATTTGGTTTTGTGTTATCTTTCTTATCCATTCTCACTGCATTGTTTTGCTGTGGTGCTTCTTCGCTTTTCGTGCGTCTTTGGTTCCCTTTGATACACGCATCTTGACTTGGCCGGAGGGCTGTAGGAATAAGGTCATAGGAACACGGCATATGTGATTCGAGTCGTTCTTATTCCCCTCGTTTTTGTGTTATGTGTTTATGTGTTTATGTGTTTTAGTTCTTATATCGCCGCCAGCCTCCATTCTACCCAGTTTAAACCTGGCGTTTGTATAGAAACCGGTGCAGTTGATGGTGGTGCTGGCTGCCAGATTAATGGGTTGACAAAAAAAAAAAAAAAAAAAAAAAAAAAAAAAAAAAAAATAAAACAACAGGCCACTCGTGTTTCCGCATAGAAGTAAAATCTGAACAGGAGATATTCACTCCCACTGGGGTCTCCCAGCCTCACACAGCCTCACATTCTAGAAAATTCCTCGTCGCTCAGCTATACACACGGTAAAAGCGCTGCTTCCAATCGGCCCAACCGTGTCTTCCAAGATTAGTGCAACCCAGAACGGGGTCACAGCCATTAATTGTAACACATACCGTTCCATAGCGTGAACGGAACTGTGTTGATTTACCATGCAATCAATGGCTGGTGAGGTTGTGACAGCTTATTCACGGTGAAACGACAAGGCTTTGCTGACTGTCAGAACCCAGACAACAATCTCTGCGGCCCCACCAACAAACTTCTACAGCATGGAACAAACGCCATGCGTTGGTCATATAACCCTCTTCTTCAGGTCTCTGAAGGGCTTCCACTGGTCTCTGCCAGTTAGCTTGCACCTTCGGCCTCAACGAGCATAGATTACGAAGAAAAACGAGAAACAACGCGCTCGTTCACCCTGAAATCCCAAGCTCCGCTCGTCCCGCCCCCGCTCCTTCCAGTTTTGGAACCATGTGACCTTGCACCAGCCTCAACAAGGCATCTCAAAGCCAAATTGCGCTCGCTCCCAATTTCTCGCTTTTACCACATAGACCAAGGTGCCCGTTGGACCTTGTTATTGCATTTATTTCTTGCATCCCGTTTTGGTCAAAAATCCTCCTCATAGTCGCCGACGGTCTCCGCTGCTCTTTGATATATGTAATACTCCGCACGTCGTGTGCTGAAAGTCACTAAGAACCTGTCTGCGCCCAGCTAATTCTGGTAGCCTTCGGACCCCTTAATTCTCTCTCCAGTTATACTCGCCAAAAATTAGCACCCACTTACTTCCATTTCACGCGTTTCCCACTATTATTTGCCCATCGCCGCACTTTCTCTCTCTTTCACTCCCCATCCACTGATCCTCTCGCCAAACCCGTCGCAAACCGACAGAAACCATTTAATCCCGACAACGCTCCGACCTAGACCCCCGGATCCAACGTCGCCCACGCCCGCGCATTGCAATAGGCGAAACGCTTGCATCAAGGGTCCATTGAACCCATCGAAACCATCAATCCCGCCAGCGGCGCGTTGACTGCGCGTTGCGTGGCAATGTCCAATTTTGGTCTACCGCGCTCGTCCAACGCCCAGGACGAAACCCGCAGCCAACCTTCGCAGTCTGACCGGTCGCCGTCGTTTGCATCGTCTGCGCTTCCTGCACGAGATGCCGCCGGCACCCAGCAGGATGCCCAGGGACAGCAACCTGGGCACAAGCGAGTGTACCAGGCTTGCATCCCATGCCGCCGCCGAAAGGTTCGTTGCGATCTAGGCTCGGTCGACAATCCTCATGATCCGCCCTGTGTTCGCTGCCGGCGCGAGAGCAAAGAATGCTTCTTCAGTGCCACTCGCCGGAAGCGCAAGACCGACGACGACACGGGGATTGACAGCGATGACTACATCGTGCGAAATGGCCGTCGAAAGCTCCATGTAGACGAAACAGGAACCTCCCGCCTTGACGGCGGCGCGTATGACGATGCACCTCTGAGTGCCGGCCTTGCCAACGTCCGCTCCCATCCCCTCCGGCGTCCCCAGCCTGACGATCCGTCCACACGCAACGGCAACGCCGGGTCACGCAAGGCTGACAACATGGCGGCCACCGATGAGCCCAACACGCCGCTCGAGAACTTTGAGGCACAAACCGTCATGCGCCGCGAGGTATACGGCCCTCACGATGCTTTGGACTTGCTCTACAAGGCAGCCACGGACAGGTCCGTACTTTTCATGTCATTTAGCTCCCCATTTTTTTTATTGTGTCGTCCCAATCGAAAAACGCAGCCTCCTTGAAACCTCGTCCGATGATTGCTGACGCTAACATCTGTTTCCGTCTCGCCCATCAGTCCCCATACGAAACAGGACGATCCCAGCAATGGCACGCCCGCAGGACCTTCACAGAGCAAGTATACCCTGCAATCAGGGCAGGGCTCTCTGAGTTCTGAGTACTTTACTACACCCGCCACTGCGTACGGCCCCAACCGGCACGGCCGCGCCGCATCACACAACGAACAGGTTGTCGACCCCGAGCTAGGGCGGCCTGACCCGTCAACCCTCCCCGGCTATGCAGACGCTCTCAAACTATGGGCAAGGTTTCGGTTTGTCCGCGCTGGGTGGTTTACCGCCCAGGAAGCAATCGAATATATTAATTAGTAAGTGCCTTTACACGCAAGAAACAGTGCGTGGTCGGGTCTTATTCACTTGATACATCGCTAACTTCCGCCGATTCTCCCCGCTTCCCTCCTTCTTCATCTACAGCTACTACACATATCTTTCACCGTTGACACCCATCTCACCTCCGACATTCAGCAATCCAGCCACCCACGTCACACTATTGACGGAAGAGCCAATTCTAGCAGTCACTCTTTTGACAATTTCATCTCGGTACAAGTCGCTTGTAGGTGCCGGCGCGAGCTGCCGGTCACACGCCGTACACGAGCAACTGTGGACATACTTGAGAGGTATGATTGAGCGAGTCGTATGGGGCCAAGAAGCATTTGGTGGCGGATTCTGTGGTTCAGGTGCAGATGATTCGCAGACGTCCAGCACCGCGCCATGGCGCGGTTTGCGCAAGGGTAGTCTCCGCACCCTGGGGACTATCGAGTCGCTCATGATCCTTACAGAGTGGCACCCGCGCGCCTTGCACTTCCCTCCTGCGGATGTCACTGACGAGCTATTGCTCTCCGCAAATGTACGGGACAACGTCGTTGGCGAAGATGGTGACACTCGTCTCGCCGGCGGCGTTCGTGGCAAGCGGATCGACAGTTGGCTGGAGCCTGCCTGGCGAAGTGACCGTATGTGCTGGATGCTCCTGAGCACCGCAATGGGTCTAGCCTATGAACTAGGCGTGTTCGATGACATTGACGAACTGCTCACTTCCGGTGGCATCACGCGTCCAGAGTACGAAGAAGAAACATACCGCCTCCGTGCCTACCGCATCAAGCGCCTGCTCTTGATCTACCTCTCCCAGCTGGCTGGTCGCCTTGGCTGGACAAACATGGTCCCGGAAAGCCTGCGGAAAAAAGATCCAGTCGCCTCTCGGAAACGCCCAAACTCCTCCTTTGAAGGTCAGACACCTAGAACCAGCCTCTCGTCCGTGTCCAATGCGTTTAACTATATCCCCGATTTAGAGCTCGACGACCAAATCATCCACTGCTGGGCAGGAATTAGCAACGTTATGCACACCGGCAACGAGAAACTATTTTCCTCTCGGCAGCATACGGCAGAGATTATCCAAAGCGGGAAATACACTGAGTTACTCAAAGACTTCCAGCCCTTGCTTCGAGACTGGTGGAAAGAATTTGAGCGTTTCAAACTACCAACCTTCATTCGGCACATCCTCAGCATCGAGTACGAATACGTTCGCATCTACATTAATTCCCTCTCCCTCCAGGCTGTTGTAGAGCGCTGTACGACAAACGCAGGCAACAGTGCGGGAGGAGGTAGTGCCTCTGGGGATGCACCACCACAGCTGTCTCCCCAAACACAGAGTTACTACGGAAAGCTTCCTCTTGGCCGACTTGGTGGTGTCACGGCTGTGGACCAGGCATACGTAAAAGAAGTAGTCGACGGGTGCCGAAACTTGCTTCGAACCGTCGTTGACGGACTCCTCCCGGGAGGATATCTCAAGCATGCCCCAGTACGGACATATTTCCGCATCATCAGTGGGGCTATGTTTCTGCTGAAAACATTCGCACTCGGTGCTCCCAAGGCTGATGTTGAGATTTCCATAACCCTCATGGATCGAACTGTGGATGCTCTCCGCAACTGTGTAGTCGATGACGTGCACTTGGGAACCCGGTTTGCCGATCTCCTGGAGTCCCTTACAAGTCGGCTCCGCAATCGTTTCATACATGCGCCATCTCTGCCTGCTTCTGCAAACGCTCCTCAGTCAGCCAGCGGCGGGAGCCCTAACCCAACTGCTGAGGCGGCTTTTGGTGTAAGTGGACATGCACGAGGCCTCGCTGGGCCTGGACAAGGTTTGACGTCGTCCGCTTCTCTACCGGCAAATGGCGATCAGAATTGGTCTAAGACGGGAGTATCAAGTAAGTCTACGCCTGACATCACGTAACGATGCTTTGCCTTTATTCGCCTTCTCTCCAGGTACTAGCTGACATCTTTCTTTTTTTCAACCTCACAGGTCTTGAGCGTTCCAGTACACCCGCCAATATTTCTGCGACACCATTTGATTCTACGGCGGGTAGTTTTCCCTATCCCTCGGGCACAGCATCTGTGCTTAACCCATCCACCCCGGCCGCCATTGTCGGCATGGACAATCCACTCGGCGATGCTATTTACTCCGACGCCACAGATTGGACCAACAATGAAATGTGGTATCTTCCTGCAGGGCCAGCCTTTTTTCAGAACATGGGTGACTCTAATGTCGCCATGACAGCAGAGGGTGTCAGTGTCGCGGGCATGGATCTTCTCGATTTCATGGCCATGGATCCTAACGGGTTCTGATTTGTCGTCGGCCATTACAGAGTAAGAAAAGGACGAAAAGTTTACATTTGTTTGTTCATTTCCTCCCCTTTTGCGTTACTGTGGTTTCCAGCCATCTGTACCATCTGTATGGCGTTGTACTTTTTTTCAACCTAAATAGCTATAATTAGACTCTTTGTGAAAGCCGCTGCCAGTCCAGGCCAGGAGTTTAAAAGATAAAATCAAATGCACGAAACTGCACTATGGATTAAAGTTATCGGGAAGGCGGGGTGAGTATGGGTGCAAAAAATGACTGGGGTGGTGGCGTTAACAAAAGTCAACAATAAAAACAATGACAAAAAGGGAAGAAGCAAAAAATATTAAGATATAAATAAACAAAGCTAGCAAATTAAAACAGCACTCAGAACAACATCCAACGTGTGACGAAGCCAAAGAGCTCGAATTCAATACTACTCGAATAGCAGTCTTTTCTTTATTCATTTCTTAGCTCCTCCCAGGTATGGCCAACCCACGATTGACGTTACAAACCGTAAAAAGAAGATTCGTACCTGACCGGCAACACAGGTGACACAATGAGCATTAAAATTACGCAGTATATGGGATCAATGGGTAAGAGTATGCACCCGCGCAAATGCGGCGGTCGTGGTGAATGCTTGCTATGTACAAAAGGCATGTAGTAGTGGTAAGGAAATATCAAAGTCAGTTGACGAATAAGCCAATTTCCTTGTTCTAGACAGGTGCGCCTGCTGATATCCCCGCCCCGTAAAACAAATGCAACGCGACAGAAAGACAGTAACAGCACGATGCACCCTACAAGACGGCGGTGTTGGTAGGTCACAGCATTTGCTAGATGATGAAATCAGACAAAAGACAAGTGTCGCTGTGCCCGGTTGCTGCAAGTTGGGTGGCTGGCCATTGCAGGAAAATGTATCTAGGGCGCGACATTGGTGGTTTTAACATGGTTCGATCCAAGTTCAGGTCACCCAAGCTTATGCCGCCTGGACTGCTGCTGGTGAGAGGGGTATTCACTGGCCAAAGGAAGTATGGCCCTGATGAGCATCTTGGAGAACTGCGAGAGAAAACGAGTTAGAAGCCTCTCGAGGGCATGAAAACATATATTTCATGCCGAGGACACGTACCGTGAAGAATATTCAGCTGGCCAGCACGATCTTCGCATGCGATTTGCAAGCCAGAACCATCGACAAAGTCCAAACACACACTATTGGGAAGCTCCTGCATTTCCATCTCGGGAATATATGGCAATCGGAAGTCACTGATATGGTACCGCTTCACAGTGCCAGCCGGTTTATCAATTCCCGGTGCGCCAACACTGTTTCCCGTGCTGAGAATCAAAAAACCTTGCGAATCGAGGCACATAGTGCGGCGTTTCCAAAGCAGATTGTCGGGAAATTGGACATTCACATCACCGACACATGAAATGGCATTGGACTGGATAACTAGGTCTCCTTGGTTTGGTGCGGCGGTTGTACTAGATGCCTCCTCTTCCTCGGCAACAGTGGGCGAAATGGTGGGTGTTGTTGACTTCCGGCCTGTGGTAAGAGAGCTCGACAGTCTGCGTATGAAACGAGAAGCCCGGTTTTTACCCCCAGAGCTGGTCTTCTTATGTCCGAGTTCGCTCGTGAATGATTTGCTTTCATCCCCAGAGCCACTAGTTTCCGTCATAAGAGATGGCGACAGGGGAGTGTTGGTGGGTGGGGTGATCATGTCTCGATCCTTGCTTGTTGAGCGGCGGCTGGAGATGCTAAGGCGGCGTGCTAACCCATGCGTAGTGTGTACGGAGGGTGGTCGTGAAGGCGACTTCGAGTGTGAAAACAAAGAGGCAGGGGAAGCAAGGTTGGTGGTGTTGAGGTTGTCGGTCGAGGGAGAGCGTGACGCCATAACTGAACCGCGGCGGTCCTTGATGAAGTCTTTGACGATTGACAAAGATGACCGCCGACGTGGTCGTGTATCCTCCGAGCCATCCGCAATCGTCGACCTATCCTGGGATTGCGAACGCCGCTTCTCCTTTGACGCCCGGCGTTCCAATATGCTCTCCTTCTTGCGTTCAGTCTCCGTGGACGAGCCTGCAACCGATAGGCCGGATATTTCTGTAAAAGCCGAGGTGAGCATAGGGGTTGCTTTTTGATGGTCGACAACAAGAGGGGATTGCTTGAATTGTAGCTGGTTCGTATCAATCGGATCAAAATGTGATTCAGTCAGCTTTGGGAATGGCTGTGTTGGATCACGAATAATCCGGGCCTTTACTTGAACAGACTCTGGTCGCCCTCTCGGTGGATTGCCATTTTCAAACACAGAAAGTCGGCTTGCCATCGAGCCCGATCGGTCTCGTGTTGTTAGCCTATGCATTTCTGGAGTTGATTCCCGTGAAGTGGGTGGGGACGGAGTTTTGTCTCGAGTCAGCGACGATGCCCGCTCAGCAACGGAGGGAGATTGAGACGGATCACGACCACCAGGTTTGTGCACTGAAAAGAATGTAGAGGTTGGTCGTTCAGCGCGTGCTGGGGCTTCTACAGCTGAACCAGGGGTGCCCCCTGATAGCTTCTCAAGGGCCTTTATTCTTTGAGAAATGCTCGACCCGAGATTTGTTTTTTTCGGGGCAATGTTTGACGCTTTCTGTTGGGTAATTTTTTGTAGAAAGGTCGCATTCGATGAGACGGACCTTGCCGCGCCCGCTGAAGCATCTCCAGGGACCAGCAAGGAACCGCGAACAGGACTGGAAACGGTCCGAGCAACACGGCCAAAGACTTCGTCACCGGCAACTCTATGCTTTGAAGGGCTGGTGTTTGGGAACACGGGAGTGATGGGTGATTTTGACACAGTCATTGGCTTGGCCTGTTGGACGGTTGCTGATTGAAGTTCCTCCATTAACTCATCGTCATCTGAGAGATTCGCATCAGAACGTGCCCCGTCATTTTCCAGGCCACCACCCAAATTAGTTTGGATCGGGTCCACCAAGGCCCTACGTCTCGCACGCTTGGTATCCATAGACGCGGTGTCACTGGTCTCGAGCCCGATTGTTGACTGGCTGTCTCTCGGTTCAGGTGCAGTGATGACAGGGACCATGGTCGATGGCACTAATGTCTCATCCTCCAAGTCGGCGGTAAATTCGGAAGTGGTTGATGTAGTTGGGCGGCTCGAATCTGTGAACTCGATTCCAACTTCGTCGATAGGTGCTCGAGCCGTCCGCTCGGCGAACACAAGTGCGTCAGCAGATTCCAGCACGGGTGCGCTGTTGAAAGCCGCAGCTTTGTCCAAGTAAGACTTCGACGTGACAGGCTGGTCTTCTCCGAGAAATACCCCATCATCAGCATCGTGTTCGGCCATACCATAGCCAGGAAGTTCTTCAGACTGCACCACGGGGCCACTGCTGACTGATCCATGACCTTCCGCTCGAGACTTATCACTTTCAGTGCCGCCACCATGATATAAAGGCTCGCTAGATTCTATCGTCGCCGTAGGATTTCCTGGACTAGTTGAATCATGGTGGGATGTCACGCCTGTCTCTACTTTGAGGTCCCGTAGTGCCTGAACTGTTTCATCAGTGGATTCAGATAGTGAAGAGGCTTTGGTGGAATCGCCGATTTCTGAAGACATGGCCAATGGGGAGGCTGGGTGTGAATCCGTGGTGTGCGTCTCTATTGATATCTGGTCCAAGGCTGCAGGTAAGCCGGTATCAACCGCCGTTTCTCCAGAGCCAGCTCCGGATGTGAAGTTATTGCCGGAGCTCAGTCTGTCAATATTTGGCAGATCTTCAAAATTTTCCGTGTACGACACCCCCGTGGCAGGCGCCCTATTGGACGGCTCTTCAGGTTGGAGTATGCTTCCAACTACTTCCTCAGTGGGCGCCTCACTAATGTCGACGGTCGGGATAGGTATGGGTGGTTGGATTGTCATCTTCTTTTTCTTCTCGCGTAATTTCATAGCTTTCATGAGCCGCGCTTTCTCTGGCGTCATCGTGTTTTGTTTTGTCACAGTTGTCGCTGTGGTCGTCGCAGTGGATTTGATTGAAATACCGGAGCTAGACGCGGGCCGGCCACCGCTTGTATGTGGTCGATGTACATCTAAAGTCTCGGGAGGGTTTGCTGGCACCGAGATAGCTGCAACTTTGGTTACAATAAAGGTGGCATCATCTCCTTTGTCTTCCTCGTCAATTTGCTCTGTAGAGCTTCCCGAAAGCTTCGCGTCGCCCTTGCCCTTTCGAGATCCTTTAGAAAACAGTTTGAACCCAGCGGGGATTGCAGAGACGGGTCGATAGGTACCCGTGCCTGCAGACGTGCGTGGCCGCCCTGACGTATCCAACGAGGGGCGAGGGGCTAGCTTGACCTTCGGTTTGCCATAGGGGTAAGATGAATAGCTGTACATCTCAGGTCGTGTCAGTTGCGAAGACATGCGGCGCGCATCGAGAGATTTGGCGGGTGAGGAAGGTCGTTCGACACCAATAAAAGAAGGCGGATCAGTTGTCCCAGAAAATTGAGATTCATCGGGCGACTTTGCTAGCTGTGAATTCAAAGTAACCGGTGGGACAGTGGGTTGAAGCGATGTTAATTCAGACGCGCCAGTCTCATCTTGTGGACCTGTTCGTCCCTCCTCTTTCACGACGGACTGTCGTTTCGTGGCCCGTTGCTCCTCTTCCTCCTCTTCTGCAATCTCCACTAGCCTCCTTCTTCTCAAGGAGCTCGTTGACGAAGAGGTAGAGCTCGAGGCCGTGTGGAGGGAGCACGCAGCGGACAATTTTGCGTCCTTAAGCTCTTTCGCATTGCCAATCGAAAAGGTTGTGTTGTACGGCGCGAGACGTTCGCAGACGGCAGTGAAGTGGACAGTGACGCGGGCTGGTGCGGTTTGTAAACAAACATTAATAGCTGAACACAAGATAAGCCTGCGTCTAGTTTTTATCGGACGGGTAGCTTACCTTGGACCAGTCGAGAGCAATCCTCTGGCAGATATTTGACTATGACGTTTCTTCGCCGGTATCTGAGAAAGCCATACAAGGGGGAAGCTTCTTCGTAATGGGCAATGGCATTCCGGATTTCAACAATGCCGCCACTGCCTCGGCCAAGTAGTCCGACTTCGTCGCGACTTGTATATTTCAAAAGGAACCTAGGGTAGGGATGAGTAATAGGTCAGAAAGGAGTTGATATGATGAAGACTGCCTTAACAAATGACTGGGTTGTGGTTGACATTATACGAAAAAAAAAAAGATAAGGAGGAATTGCTTACCAGCCTCCGGGTTCAGAGACCGCAGCGTCGTGGGCCTCTTTGACGGTCGCATTGTCGAGGCCGTTCAGCGACATGGCTGCTGGTGTCGCGTTTGGCTAAGATCAAGACGCTTCTTCGGGCGCAAGACGTATTTTCGAGATGGGCGTCCTTCTGTCTTTATCGAGCAAAGGGACAGGCCACACGGGCACTTCAAGCTCGACAAAAAGGGCCGGATAGGGAAAACAAATGAACGCAAGATCGACTCTGTGACTAAGTGGGAAGGGCAGAATTTGGCGAGATGTGGGAAATAGGGAGTAATTGGTATTCTGCGTCGATAGCGCGTCGTTCGCCGAGGGCGGGAATGGCTAGGGGCGCATTCAGGTTCGCATGTCCAGGAAGACAATCTAGATGTTGGAGATCTGACAGAGGTATAATACATGCAGAAGGATGATTGTTAAAGACAACAATATCTGCCCGGAAGGAAATGGCGTGGAATGTGGGAAATTGAGAGTCTCAAAGTCGGGAAACTGAAAAGTTGGTTCTTTGTACTGCTTTCTCACGGGGACCTGGCAGCCTTCAAAACAACCAAAGACGCTACAGGCGCAAGTAGATGGGGAAACGGTGCGAGACGCTGATGCCAGTTGACGCAAGTGGGCAGTGAGCGGGAGCAAGACGAGGCTTGAGCCAGAGGAGAAATCATCCGAGGCGGAACAAAAACGGAAAGAGAGGACGTTTCACGGAGTGGATTTCCAGATGGTAGAAAGCAAGAAGAGAGCCTGGTTCTCGATACTCCGTAGACGCGAGAAAGGTAGAATCTTTCAACGCAAGGTCAAACCGAACCCCTGAGCACTGCTTCTGGCCTCCGCCCTTTCCTCCAACTACCTCCGATATTTCTATTTATTTAAGTAATTGGGCATCCACCCTCTTCTTATTTTCATTTTCCCACGCAACGAGATACGCTTGTCAGGGGGAATTGGGGAGGCGCCAGCTCCCTTTCCGGGGGCGGTATTAGCCACTTACGGACTAGTCAGGCTACTAGGCCCATCGCGGTTTCCCAGTTCAGACCCACCCAATTCATAATGCCCATTTCGCGTATTTGTGGCCAAGACACAGATGCAAGATTCGTCCTGTATCCATGACTTTCTTCTCTGCCGGAAGGAAACATGATCGATCCAGTTCACGGACAATCGTGCCTCTTGGGTTTTAATATATGCTCTATATAGTCAAACTGACGCAGTCGCTGGTTTTTTGAAGTGTTTAAAAGGACACCTTCGTTAACGCTGGACGACCTATCTGTAGCAGGCTCTTTTGAATGAAAAACGTCTTGTAAATTTCACGAAGAGCTTCAGCTCTCTTAGTTCACTGGTGATCGTTAGCCCGTAAATTCCCTTAATTTCGTAGCCGAGCTAAGTACTGTGCGTAATGCTGGTAAGTATTAGTTCACAATGATAGCCGACGCCAGCATGTAAGACGACCAGTGTAACGGGTAGCTTGAATACAAGTACGGGGTAGTACGTATTCGGACAGGATACTTCATAATATATGAAAGTGTTTATCTAGGAGACGGCAAGGTGAGGCCTGCGAACATGTTGTCGTTCGAACGATGATGGTTAAACAGAAGACCTGTGCGAGCAGACTAGGATGGAAAATCAGTGGCCGAGCCAATGGTCTACACTGTGTGCCGTGCCTCAAGGCATACTACGAGCGTCGTAGGGAGGCATTTCATCCTGAGGTTTTCGCACGGAACATTCTTTCGGAGTCTGTGACTTGCATAGACATTCTGCCTTGACGCTCCAATGTAACCTCACAGACCTTTCACCTTCTAAGATAGACTTCTGGCTGGTGTCTTCGGCTCGCTCGCACGCTTTGACCTCTCGTTCATTGAGGGGCAGTATCAGCCGACCATGGACTCCGTACGCCGTAAGGAGTACGAAAAACGAGGAACAGTTGTTGACCGAAAGGTTAATGCGTTGAGCAACTATGGCAGTACGGTATTACGGTAAGAGACCTGTAAAGTAGGGGTCGCCCTCTGTGATGTCAAAGATGGCATACAAAGAACATTGAACATGTTGACTTAGTATCGTTCTCCTATGGCGATAGGATCTGCTGGATCCTGTCAATGGTATCCGTCTTCTTATTAGAAAAAGGAACCTAAGTCAAGACGACAACAGACAGGCTTGAAAACATATTTTGTTTAGGATACGCTGCATATACCAACGTTTTAATTCGCGGGTGCACATATCAGGAAATAACAGGGTTAGGACGGTTTTGTGTATAGAGTATTTATTTACGTAATTCGTAGAAGTTTAGCGATTTCTTTTCTCAAAAGGCATCCGTAGGCGTCTAATTCCAGAAACAAAAAAGAACTGTCAAATGAATATACAAGTATAAAGTCAACCACAACAATGAGGAATTCTAACCTCACAGCGGCACCATGCCTACCGTCTACTGTAGTAACAAACCCTCTACCGTCCGTCATGTCGTAACAGCATTGACCACCGTGCCTTTTCGCTTTATCTTTCTTATTTCTCCCTTCATGTCGTCACCCAGAAAAGTTTGTATAAGCCAGGCCCGGTCTTCTTACAGTCACGTCTTATCGCACCTACTTTGCTATCTGTGCTATAGGGATCATGACCCTCCAAGTTGCGCAATGTCTTCGACGTGCTCATCCTTTGTGGTCGTAGCGGCGCCTTCCGTTTCGTTGGAAAGAACCACAACCTCCTGGGTTGTCTCAACCGACTCATCGCCATCAAGCACTGGCTCCTCTTCGACCGAGCCTTCAATTGCCGTGCGCTGAAACGCATCGTCATGAGATGGGGGGGCCACAGAGTCATGGCCGCGGCCGCTGTTGCTGGCAGATACGCCAATGGCGGGCGTGCCACCCTCGGCTATTTTTTGTTTGATGTCATTGACAATCTTGTCCGCCTCGCTTGGCTTTGTCCCCGAACCAACCTCGTCACCTTCGACACCAATCAAGCCGTCGTTGCTGTTTTGCGTTTCGACCAATGCCTCCTTGTCGAAGCGAACAACCATGCACGAAAGGTTATCCGTGCTAAAGTGGGCGAGGGCATGGTCAACTAACATCTTTGCAGCTGTGACAGGATCAGGAACGTTGCGGATGAGATTCACTGCATCTTGGTCACTGCAGACATCCCAGAGCTGCGGCCATTGTCAGTTTCTGGAAACAGAGTAAGGTAGCAATGGTAGGGGCTAAAAGAACGATCCAAGGTGGGAGACTACATACCCCATCGCAAGCAATAATGACGAACTCATCCAGCTCCGGTTGAATAACCGTCTCGGTCGTATAGGGGTGGCCAGTCACAAGCTCTTTGATATAAGTGTCACCGAGAGCTCTTGTAACTGCGAGCACTCCATTCACACGATTGTTGAGGACTAAACCACCAGCGTTGGCAATGCGGCGACCTTCATTCTCATCGCTGCCTTTATGGTCATACGATAACCGTAAGGCCTTTCCGGACCGGCAAAGAATAATGCGCGCGTCGCCAACATTTGCTGTATAGAGAACACGTTGTCGAACAGCATTAGACTTGAGTTTGGCATGTGCGGTTTCCACATCGGCCGCAGTGCGAGGCACGGACGTGTTGGTACCACCAGCATTGGTAGCGTTGCCTCTCTTTTCATCTGACTTGGGAGCCGAATCGTCGTTGGCTTTTGCGGCGGCAGCCATGGCGATGCCCTGGGAGCCGGTAGCAGATTGGCTGCTGGGCACTCGATCCTCCCATCGCAAGACAGCAACTGCCGCGGTACAGCCGCTGTTTTTGAGAGGAAGCTTCTCTAGCTGATTATCAACAGATGTGAAGGTCTGATCTAGCAATTCGGGTATAGGCGCATTCGGGTTCTTGCGTATGATTTCTTCAAGAATCAGATGCAGCTTCTTCCCGCACCAGTCTGCAGCGAAGGTTCCAGCATGTCCATCGAAAATTGCAAAATAGCCATTGTCCGTTTCCAGCGAGTCGCTGACAAGATCTAAGCCACTGTTCCCGCCACTAGAGACGGCGACATCTTGCTCGCTGTTATCGGAAGACGATTTGAAGGACTTTGTGCTGTCTTTGTCGGAAACTGTCGTGGCGGGGGCAGGTGTACGAAGGAAGTTGTATAGGAAGGCGTGTGTATCTTCCATCGTCCGTCGGCATTTCTTGTTTCGGTCCTCCCAGACACCTACACGAAATGTGGATCTTGGGCCTGGAAGGGATTCACCTGCCGAGTTGTTGTGCTGTCCTTGCGGAACAGCGAGCGCAGCATCCTGCCTGCCGAGCTTTTGTAGCGGGGTCTGGGTCGATGCAGATCCATCGCTACTTGTTCGTCCAGTCTGAGAGAAGTTGAGTGTGTTTTTCGCAGATGCTAGCAGGCTACTGGCACGGCTGCTGACACCGCTGCTCCGTCGCTTCTTGGGTTCAGTGGAACTGCTGGATGCTGGTGGGCTGTTGTTTCCCGTTCGTCTTTCGGGGCTTGTCGACTTTGCAGTTGGCTCTGCTGTTGTGATCGGAGCTGATTCGGGCTCGGGGGACGGTGATTTATTGCTGCCTTTTCTGACTGTGCTAGGGGCAGCAGCGGCAGGACCGAGTGTGGCAGTGTCGCCGTTGGTGCCTGTGTCATCAATTGCGCTCTCGGCTTTGAGAGAGGTCGAGGAGCCTCCACCAAACATTCTGTTGAGCAGACCTCCCTGCGAAGAGAGGCTGCGTCGCTTGTTGCCTGCCAGCTTGGTTGGTGGTGGAGGGGTTCTGGAGAAGAAATATGTCGCGAAATGATGAGAGCCGTTCCCCGTCTGTTACGATGGGACTGACCAGCCGCCTACAAAATATGGCTGCGAAAGTTTGTTGCAAAGTAGAAAGGGGTGAAATGGCCACGCCGCAGTCGACGTAGGGGAATGGCCACGGTATGAGTGCGAGCGACACGGTAGGAGACGTTGGTAAAGGCGCAATGCGTCGTTGAATGAAGCTGGGCTGCTTTGTGATCGAACCGGCTATACACCGTAGTTGAACAAGTTGGTCAAAATGATGTAGAGGGAGGATAGAGTCTGAGAGCGTGTGAGGCCAGCGTTCAAAATTGGCTTGATTGCCTTCAGGCTTGGACAGTGTTGTGTGTATCGAAAGAACCTTGCTGCGCCCTTTCCTGAAGCATAGGAAGCGTTTTCAAGTTGTGAAGTGCAGCGGGGACAGACAAGCAATGGGGAAGATGAGGAGGGGCCTTGTGACCTATTGGTGGATGATGTAATACATTAACGGGGCGGAGGGAACGGAGGGAAGGAACGAAGTCAGAATTAGGCGCCTGGGGAATTGGTGAGACAAGCTGCACGGTGGCTAAAATTCTAGCTGTAGGGGGCAACTGCATTGCAGGTTGCTGTCAGGCCGCTAAGCCAAGCCTTTTCCACGAGCGGGCTGGAACAAGAGGAAATCGAAAACTCAGGAAAAGTACATACCCCGCGACCGAGATAATTAGAGGCAAACAGCTACTACAGACTCCACGGGAAGCATTCAACGTTTCTATCTCCCAATGGGGCATGCCTCGTTTGCTACCGAACGGGCCTTTTTTTTTTTTTGTAAATATCAAGCACCACTGGCTTCATTTTTGTTTTTTTATTTCATGGACAAAAAGAAAATAAAAAGACAGAAAAAAAAGGAGTTGACGGATATATGAACCAGACTCTTTATTTCAGTCGCTGTGGTACCCTTTTGGTGCTTCTGGCACGAACTTTCCCTAGCTGTGCACGAATTTACGAATTGAAACACATTTAAAAAGGAGTCTAGATGCTCACTCCAGGATGTAATTAGGCTACAGAGGCAACGAAACGGTACCGTATTCAAGATCAGAAGGTGCGCAGCATTTACCACCGGCCCATGAAGCCCCGACTGGCCTGGCCCGACTGGCGAACAATGGTGTAATAAAGTGGCAATTACCTGCCTAGGTCGGACGGTTTCTCAGATATGACTTGCACGGGAGAAGGGAACGCACGTAAAGGAGTCGAGTGGTCGCCCGGCACGAGGATCTCTGTCATTGCAAGAATCCCGACAAAACATGAATATGTAAGCCTCTCATTATATTACGCTGAAACTGTTCGAATAAAACGAGAAAAACCAAGGAACATACGGACTCGGGCCAAATGTGAGTGTCAAAGCGGAGGCAAGGGACCAACGACGAACACACGATCTAAGCTTTGAGACGACACTGGGTAGCCGACACAATCGGCCGGGAGGTCGATGTACAGGGAGCAGGGAGAGACGTGGTCGTCTCGAGCAAGGCCCCCCATGGACTATCGCCGTAGACTGTCCAGGCGGGCTTGAAGATCGTCGTCGCCGCCGCCGCCGCCGGCGCCGCCGCCGTCTCCGCCACTGCCGATTGCCTGAGCAATTTTGCCCTCTGGTAACGTTGTAGACTGCAAGCCTTGTGGGGTATCGCCAAGCTATGCGGTTCGTCTGTGTCAGCTTCTTGCGCGAAACGAATTATTATGGAATGCAGAAGACCGAGAGACGACTTTGTCCCACCAGGTCAACCCAGCAGACAATCTTGTGGTATGGCTTATGACTTACAGCTTGGGTAAGGTCGACACCAATTTCCTCAAGGACCTGCTCAACAACCTCGTCACCTTCCTCTTCGACGCCGACATCCATGGCGTCATCAATTGCGTCGTCCATCATTTCTTGCCTCTGCTCCATGATATCATTCTCGCGCTCAAACTCCATGGCGATACGCTGAAGAGACGGGAGGTTCATTGTGCGGTTCATGCTACCAAGTGCCATGGTGGCGCCTTTCATAGCCTGCATCATTTGCTCATTTGTTCGGTATGTCTGCGGGTAGACGTTAGTACTTTGCAACACGAAGGCGCATGGGATAGGTCGTTGTTTTCTTCTTACTTGAAGTCGCAGGGAGATCTTCTGCAGCTGGCTTCGCATACCATAGAACTTCTCGATGTATCTGTAGTGGAATCGCTATGTCAGCCCGGAGCGGCTGCATTCACCTGACGCCTCTGACAAAGTTGTCACATGTACGACGAACCTTCTTGTACGAACCAAATCCTTCGCCTGGATCTTGCACGCTCCCATTTGCCCCTTTTGGGCGCTTTGTTTGATCTGAGCAATCAATGCCTTCTCTTGTTTTTCGAGCTTGACCCGTTGCTGGTCAAGTTCGCGGATAGCCTTGTCTAGCATCCGCTGGTTCTTGCGCAGGCGCTCAGCTGGCGTGATGCGCTTTCCGAAAGCCCATTCAAGCATCTGTAGTGGTGTAACAAGGGTGAACCCCGATGGTCAGTCGGAAAGATCTTTCTGGCCAGATACACATGTGTCGCTTTTCTCTCACATTCATGGTGTCGGCCTCACGATCGATTGCGAGGGATGTATGGGTTTCGATGGAAAGCGTCGTTACGGGCGCTTTCCAGCTTGAATAATTTCAGTCGTCGCTTCTCGTCAAAGTCGTAGGTTCCGTCAATGTTGTCCGTGTTGTCGTCACGGCTTTCGTCGTGCGTGGCGTGGTTGCGATGACGGAAAGATAAGGCAGCAGCTTCGCAATAAAAGGATATAGAAAGGCAGTGGCGGATTGGCTTGGGACTCTGGGCATAGTAGCCCACAAGGATAGCAGCGCTAGCACCGCCATACAATTTTTACAGAGCATTACATGCGTCGTGGTACGTCGAATTTGCTGTTTGTCGATTTATCCCCAGCTCGGAGAATGCGAGGAGGTAAATTAAAAATATAAAAAGAACCCAACTGCGATTACAACTACGGTGCATTGCATTGGTATCCACGAAAGCAGAGGAATTTACTTTCTCGTTGTTTCCATTTCACATGCGCTCACACGCCACACAATGCCTGTTGCGTCTTGATTCGACGTTGGATCACTTGTATAGTGCCTAGGTGGGCGGAGCTTGTGGCTGGACCAATCAGCACGTCCGTCGTCAGGTGTGGCGTCCGGAAAATTCGCCCCTTCTACCATTCAAGAAATCGAAATGCTTCGCAATCAACCTCGAACTAACTGCTGAATTGCGAGCATTGCAACGTGGATGGACACTCTAGACTCGACGACACTATCCGCGGAGGCCCAAAATTCCTTCTCTCACATATAGACATCAATCCCATGGCTGCATGTTCGACATAATGAGCCCCAAATCACGCCTAAATAAGGGGAAAGCCCCGAGCAACAAGCCGGCAAGAGTCGGTGAACGCGATGCCGGCGTCAACGACAACGACGACGACGGTGGCAACAACCTTGGACCGCGACCAACAGGACCAGGATACATGGTAGTTGGTAACGGGTCGGGCTCGGAGCATATGTCCAATCTGAAGCATCTCATCGACAAGGACTCCGGTTACGGCGGAAGCACTATGGACGGCGACAACGGTATGCGATCGACGGTCGACTCGTCCCTTGACTGGGATTCGGCTGTCCAGGATAACCACCAAATGTACCCAGCCGCTTCATCAACGTCTGCTGCCGAATTTGAGGCTGGCAGGCGTCTACAGGCAGGTGCAGTTCATCAAATGTGGTACAACCAACATCGCGTCGCTCTCGGCAAGTCGATAACCGAGGCTGTGGACCTGTTGAAGGGTCTCCAAAAGATGAACATGTCCTGGCCTGCGCACTATCCAACGGTGCAGCGGATCAGTGCTACGGCTCCGCTGCCGCCGCCATCTCCTACTCGCCCTAGCTTGCAGCACGCTCATACGACCGTAGGCGACCTTATGGCCACATCAACCCCGCCGTCAAATGGCCAACCCGACCGTGGCCCCCTCCGCCGGTCGTATACTTCATTGGAAGAAAATGCGGCGGCAGAGTCCAGCAAAACGGCCGAGGCACGGTCAGTGTCCACTGAGCCACGACTGGTTACGCCGCAAATTGCACAGGAGTTTTCGGTGCTCAAGCTTGATCTAAAGCTTGGTGGCATGCACCAGGCCGAGTTGGTCCACTCGCTTGAGAAAGCGTCAATCGCGTCTCTCTTGGATGAGAAAATTCGCTCCAGCATAAGACATCTTGAATCTCTACGCGAGCGCATCGAAGACATTTCCAGTAAGGTCCTGATTACGGGTGATTTGAATGCTGGCAAGTCAACATTTTGCAATGCTCTTCTACGGAGAAAGATCTTGCCCGAGGACCAACAGCCTTGCACCAGTATCTTTTGCGAGGTCTTGGATGCCAGCGAAAATAGTGGTGTGGAGGAGGTCCATGCCGTCCATTTAGACGTTGTCTATAACAGAAACGACGAGTCTACTTACGACGTTTTCTCGCTTCAAGACCTGGAGAAAATTGTGACCGACAATACGACCTACATGCAGTGCAAGGTTTACGTGAAGGACGAACGAGCCATCGAAGAGTCGCTTTTAAGTAATGGCATTGTTGACATTGCTCTTATCGACGCACCCGGTCTCAATTCAGATACGACTAAGACTACCGCGGTGTTTGCACGACAGGAAGAGATCGACGTCGTCGTTTTTGTTGTTTCCGCTGCCAACCACTTTACTCTTACTGCAACTGAGTTTATCAGGGCCGCGGCGGCAGAAAAAGCCTATTTTTTCTTCGTCGTGAACGGATTTGATGTCATCCGCGATCAGGAGAGATGCAAAAAAATGATCTTGGACCAGGTGTCAGGTCTCAGTCCTCAAACTCACAAAGAGGCTTCAGAGCTGGTTCATTTCGTGTCGAGCAATGCTATTCCTATTACACCACCCCCTGCTCCACCTGGTGGTCCCGGTGGTCCAGGAGGCAGTGGCGGTAGCTCTTCGGGCGGCGGCGGCGGAGATGATGACGACGACACCAAAGGCAAAGGCAAAGAGAAACTTCGAAACTTTGAGAGCATGGAACAGTCTTTACGACGGTTTGTTCTGGAAAAAAGGGCACATTCCAAATTGGCGCCTGCAAAGAATTACCTTCTCAACATCTTCAATGATGTTAACGCCCTTGCCACAGTGAACACCGAAGTTGCGCAAGCAGAGATTAGCCGTGTTGCCAACGAGCTAAGTGAAATAGAGCCTCTGCTCGAAACCAACACGAAGGCAAAGACCGAGGTCGCCACCGAGGCAGAACAAATAATCGAGAAAACTTGCAAAGACGTTTATGATCATAGTCGAGCGGTTATCGGCTTCTCCATAGCCCATGCCGGCGACGGGAACTTGGGAGTGACGTATCCTGGCCTTTTATCTGCGTTTCAATATGCCGAAGACATCAAGCAAGCCATGTTCTCACGGATTTCAGCATCTGTCGCCGAGTGCGAGGAAAGTGCACGGACGAAGGCCGGAGGTGGCGTGAATTCGCTTAAACAACTGGGAATTCTTCACCTTGGAGATGATTTTGCGGACCTGAACTTTCGCCCTGAGTTTATGTTCCGTCGACGAAGGGATGAGTTAGCCCGAAGGCTTGACGTCCCAACAGAGATTATTGACTTTGTGGATCTGTCAATGATTCTCCATCGTCAAGAGACTGTTGCTGGGACTGGAATGGCACTGACAGTCGCTACAGCCCTTGGTACTCGAATGATTGGAGGCCAGGGTTGGATGGACCATGCCCTTTCAGTTGTGAAGGTCGTGGGTAACAACGGCACGCGCCGCCTGCTGGTGCCGGGACTCATTCTTGCAGCAATCGCGGCCGCTGGTTACGTTCTGTCGCAGATTCCGCGATCTCTTCCGCACCGGCTGTCGCACAAGATCTCATCTCGCCTTGCCGAGATCGACTATGTTCACTACAACTCCGCCCGAATCGCTGGAACTGTGCGGAAGGTGCTACGGTATCCCGCGGACTCCATCCGTGACGGCCTTAACCGGTCAGTGGATCAGCTCGGTGCTCGCAGGGAAGATACCTTAAAGATCAAGGCTGAAAGCGAGGTTGCCTTGAAATATTTCGGCAACTTGGTGGTTGACAGCGCCCGCCAGCGAAACGCCGTGAGGTCTCTAGATCTTGACACACCACCTCCTGGCGCGGCACATTAATATTCCGTCGTGCGGAACGAATTTGAAAAAAAAAGCCGAAAAAACCCCGATCCGTGGTTGTGGCTTTCAACACGTCCAACTGTACTTCTCGATTTTGCGACCGGGGCTCTGGCCGATTGTGGTTCCTATTATCATCGGTTGGATCAGGTGCCTTGAACTTTTCATGACCACTCTCCCCTGAACTCTTTCGTTTGCATCGTTTTTGCTATACTTTCAGTGACTGCATCACTTATGACTATTCTTACTCTTTGCATTTATTATTCCAACCTGGACTTTACGACCATTTGATTTTATACCGGTTTTTATGGTGACCTTTTTAGTGTGGTTCGCGGGACTATGTGTGGCCTTGATATCTTTTTCTTGTCAGGTTTTTATTATATACAAGAATATGATAATTGATTGAGATTCTTACTGTTTTCCGTTTCTATTATATACAGGAACTACACTGTTATGCCTTGTTATAAAGAGAGGAAATCATCAAACGAGAATAAAAGATACACGCGCAGACCATAAACGAAAAGAAAAAGGAATCTATAGAACCGTAGAACGATAAATCGTAAGCGCCCTGCAATTTTAGTCTGAACGTTGACAGGACTGGAAGCAATGGACACAAGGCCTCAGCTTGGTTGTTCCAAGAAGGCGCGAAATAAAGAATCTCGGCCCAAGCTAAAACACATGTCGCCCGCATAACGCACAGGTGACACAATACATGGGCTTTTCTTCCCAAATTCACCCGCTCGATCGTTCTCAAAACTGCATCGGAGAGTTCGTATCAGGAAAACGCGCAGCTTCCTTGTGCCTTGCCTTTTAAATGTCCTCATTCCTGTTCCAGATCCATCCGTTACCATGAATCATCACCCACGTGGATTTTGTCCTCTTTTAAATTTTGCAGCATCCAACAAAGGCTTCACAGCGCTGGCCGTGCGCCAGAACCGCCAAGTGCGGCACCGACTTGAGAGGCGGTATCGCCGCCTTCCGGGCCCTCGCCTGAGCCGGCTGTTAGCAGCTCGCTGCCCATTTCACGCATCCGTTGCTCTTGCTCCATGGCCAGGATATTCTGCTCCTCGGCCCAAGAGAGTGCGAAGGGAACGCCAACAAGCAAGGCGCTCACAGAGATTGTCCAGGCGGCGCGACCAAGGAAAGTAAGCGTTGTACGCACAACCCGGTCGCCAAATTGGAATTTGCTGTAGAACCAACCGCGGGTAGTGGGTGGGATGATATCGCGCAGGGCGTAGAGCCGCTCGCCAAAAGTCTCACGGCTAGGATCGTAGTCAGAGTCGGTAGAAATTTCCGAGTCTATTTGAAAAGCAGGCCATACGTCAGCATGCAACAGCTCATACCCCCGACCGCGCTATTTAGCATCGTGTCTCTCATTTCACGTACCAGTATCGGTGAAATCCTCTTCCTCGTCGACGGCCCCAGCAGGCCGCTGCTGGAAATGCTCATCATCAACTTCGACTAATTGAACCATGATGACCTCCTGAGTACGTGCTTTCGAAAGAGTCGTGAATTGAGAAGCTGGGGTTTGGTTTGGCTGAGGTGGTTTGACACTCGTCGTAATATTTTGATGCTAGACGTTCAAAGCTGGTGAATGCGTAGCAAAATTTTTATCATGCTAAGTGGCACGTGATTCATTTAGCAAGGACGTCATTCTCGTTTATTAATATTGCGCTAAAATATTGTACTTGCTAACTCTTGTTTGTTGTTAGTGAACTTTCGGCCCGCGTTTTCAATTCTGGAACAGCGGGTAGGAATATGAGAGGAATTGCAGTCGCCCTATTCCGATAAAAAGATAGATGCTCATTTATTTTTGTTTATGTGGCTCCTTTCCTGCTATTAATTGCCTGTTGAGTGTACCACATAGCTTGAACTGGTTCTAAAGGACTATACATGTGTACCGGGCTGATCCTGAAGGCGGCGAAGCATTATATTGTCATATGTCAACAATCTTGCAATAGTTTACCAATCGAGAGGAAAGAAAAGAGATACTATAAAACCCGAAATGTTCAGAACACATTAAATCCCCTCTCCCTCCAAAGACTCCATTCATTAAGTCTTTCGCCTGTCTGGGGTGTCTGCAAAACGGATGCCGCGCCGAGCAGGAGGCACTCTTGGGGTGTCGTCGTCATCACTGTCTTCAGCTTGGTGGCTCGACATACCCAGGGCTGCTTCTCTCCGACGCCGTTCTGCGGGAGTTTCATTTGTTTCGTCGTTGCCCTCGTCCGAATCCTCGTCGTCATCATCGCTAACACTCTGCAAAACAGCCAAGCGACGACGTCTCTCCACGGCCGTCTCCGGTATATCGTCAGTGTTGTCAGACGGGCCAGCCACAGCGCGACCAAGCCGGGAGATGGTTGCTGTCTCAAGCTGGGCTGCAGATGAGCGCCGGCTAGAACTGTCATCCTCGCCGCTACCATCGTTGCCACCAACCTCTTTGCCACGGCGGCGTCGTTGACCATCACTCGTAGCAGACCCAGCCTTAGCGCTTTTGTCGGGGTGAGACACAACAATGTCTGGAAGTGTGATATCTTGCTTGGCGAGCGTTTTGATGGTATGAGAAGCGCTTGATTTGTCGACCACTTCACGTCTCGTGCTTTGGTCCAACTGTTGCATCTGCTTGATAAAACCCTCCTTTGTCATTCGCTGACCGACACCGCCGATAGTGAAGCGGATATGGCGATCGTCTTCTTCTTCTTGCACCTCGGCGACGCTCTTTTTTCGCTGCCTTTGAGTAGATGGCTCACCGGGACCGGTCCGTCCGAAGTTGATCCAGCTTGGCATTGCAGGCCTGCTAGATACTCGCGTCATTGGGTCGACATCATTGTTCGAGCCCTTCGTCTTTTCATTCCCCTGCTCATTTGCCTTTTCAGAAGGTCGGATCAAACCTCCCATGCCCATGTATTTGAGGCTGTGTGAGACCATATCACTACCTCCACCATCTTTGTCCCCCCTTTGCGGCGGTAGCTCGTACGTCTTGACAACTTCCCCGTCTTCGTCTTCGACAATAATCTAAGGCAAAACTAAACGTTAGCAACATGTAACTTTCTGGACAAAAGATTTGTACCACCCCTCGGCCTTCTACGCGGAGGGAACAAGAAGACTGTACCGTATTGCCAAATTGGTAAGCTCGAGCAGGTTCGTGTTTGCGCGTATCCTTTTGTTTCTCTTTTCTTTTCTGGATCTCGTCGTTTTTCCAGTTGCCGATCTTTTTCTTGATAGCATCGTATGACCAGGCAGAGGTTCCCGCCTCGGCTTTTAATGCCTCTGGGGTCAAACTCTCCTTGAGCTTTTCCACGTCGGTCCCTTCGAGAGGCAAACTGTGAGAATGTGTAGGTTCGACAGCGACGACTTCTCCCTGTTCCGTCTCGATAATAATATTATCGCCTTCGTCATATACATTGAGCCTTGGTGCAGAAGTTGGCGACACAGAGCCGTCAGGTCCTTCAGAAGACCCCCTTTGCTCCCGGCGGCCCCTCTTCTCCTCGTCGCTGCCTTCCAGACGTCCCTCTTCTTCTGCGACAATAGTTTGTCCAGAGCCTTGCGAAGGCTGTTCTTCCGGCTCATCAGGTCCAAGTGTCTCGGTTTGCAGCGGGGCACTTGATACAAGGGCATCGCTCGCTGGGCGTTGAGGGTAAATCGCAGACTGACTGATAGGCCCACCGGGGCCGATACCGTCGTCCCACTTCTTTCTCCGGCGGCGACTTGCACGCGACGATGCTCGGCTGCCTTGCTTGCTGGTACCTTCTTCATCTTTAATTCGTCGCAGGAATTGCCCAGGTATCCCAACAGGCAAAAGTGTGCCTGGAGGGACACTTGGCATTTTAAGCTCGTCTACGTCCGTATCCGACATGGTGCGTGCCTGAGAACGTGATTGAGATGATATGCGTGGCAGGCGATTCATCCACGACGGACCTTCCTCTGGAGCCGTGGTGTAGGACATTGTGATTGTTAAGGTATTGATCCGCTTTCCTAAAGTGAATACGGCGATGGACGACCCGTGGACGATAATAGACGAGACAACTAAAAATGTCGTGATGGGCCAAACGAGAGTCAAAAGCGTGTAATGGGGCGAGTCGGGCGGTGGGAGTTGGGACAGGGGTACAGGCGAGTCACTCTCGAGCTCGGCCCGAGCCATTATGGCGACAAAGATGGCACCAACACCAATAGGGCCGAAGTGACCAGCAAAGAGGGCCTCGCGCCATGTTTTGATGTCCGGTATCAAAGGCTTCAATGCAAGCATGATAGGGATACGGCGGAAAAGAATGACAAAAATAGCTATGATGGTGAGGCGCCAGGCGGACAAGCCAATCGACGTGTCGTTGAACATCTCCCAGGGAATGATAGTTCCGAGGTACACGAAATATGTCAGATTGAGCAACAAATCGATGACGTTTGATACGTGCGATTCTTCTGTTTTATGGCCGAACCATCCGTCGTTCGAGAAGCCCACGCCGCACGAGAAGCCAACCAGCAAATCATCAACACCGAGGATACTTCCAGAACCAGCGCAGAAAAGAGCCAGGACAAAATAGAACACGAGAAAGCTCTCGCGGTCGATGAGGTCATGGCGCTCGGCAAACTTGATGCCGTGGCGGGCAATGTAACCGATCAGGAATCCATAGATGGCACCGAAAATACATTCGTAGAGAATTGTGTACACGATCCAGTGGAAGGAAACCTCTCCGGCGTCGCGTTTGTCCTGGATGAGATAAAGCGAGAGGTAGATGAAGGGAAAGGCCATGCCATCATTGCATCCAGATTCGGCAGAGAGCAGATCACGCAAATGCTTTGGCACCCGCTTGGCGAACTTGCCCTTGCCGACAACAGACGACGCTAAGACGGGGTCGGTGGCGGTGACACAGGCGGCGATGACGAGGCTGTCGAGCCAGTCAAGGGGCGGTACCATCCACCAAACAAATAAAGACGTTACAAGCCAGCCGAAGGTCATCACAGGTACGAGGAGGAATATGACGGACTTCCAGTGGCGTTCCATGTAGAACTTTGGCAGTTCGACGCCAACAGCAAAACACTGGACGACGAGGACAATGCGAGAGAACTCGATGGTAACGATGTCGACATTTCCCCAAGATGCTGGGTCGATCAAGTCGGCAGCATGAGGGCCGAAGATGAGGCCACAGAGAGTGGCAACAGTGGCCTCGCCGATGTAGATGCGTTCCTTGATGATGGACGAGCAAAGCATGAACAGGGAGGTGAAGCCGCCGAGGATGATGTATACCAGATGGGGTTTGGTGACAGACAGGTGGGCCCACGCCATTGTCGCGGTTGTCGAGGGGAAAACGGCGGGGCCGGCGGCGCGGAAGAAAGGGCCGGCGTCGGTGACGGCCTAGCAAATGAGTAAACAAGCAGAGGAGCGAACTGGAGCTGTGCTCTTCCTCTGGCCGGCGCAGGCGGTGGAGTTCAAGACGTAGCTGCTGCGAAAGCAAGCCCATAGGGCAGCGCGGTGGGGAGAAACAAGATGTGAGCAGGACCGGTGCGTCCGGGTGCGCGGCAAGTGACGGTAAACGAGTCGGGAAAATACTGGATATCGGCGCCCCAATCGATCAACTCGGGTTGATGATGGTGCTGCGTTCGAGACATACAGGGGCGCAAACGAAATAGCGAAAGTGGCGGCGTGCGTATGTGTGAAGAAACGGGTCTGTGTGCCAGAGGGCGTTGAAGCAACAAAAGTAAGGAAGGTCGTCAGATAAGATTCTAGACTAGCTGAAGGCTAGGGCAGCGTGCTATTTGCGTTTTAGGGAACACGGCCGGCGCTGAATCGATCAGTGCATTGAAGTTTATAACTTCAAGTGCATGTAGCGCGTGTCTGTAGACGAAAAAAGGAAACCGGAAAAAAAAAGGGGGGGGACAAAAAAAAATCAAGAGGTGCTTTGCGTGGTAAAGCAAGTGACTCAAAATGAGAAGGAAGGAAAAATGCAAGAGAAAGAACATGGACTTGCGGGTCGTGAAACGCCAGGCAAAAAAAAGACAGGCGTCGAGATTGGATGGACTAGGAATATGCTCAGTATATTACGTTGTGGCGGGAAAGAACTGGACGCGCTAACGAACGAGGCTCCATTGAGTCTTTGAGGAAGCTGGGCCAAAACGACTTGAATGGGTATCGGGTTTTCATCTGCATGCTCTCGTGGCGTGTGACCAGACTAATTACCAAATACCTGCGTGGCGCTTGGAATTCAAACAAAGCAATACGACGTACGGATTACCCCGAACTTGTGACGGTACTACGACTAGATATTAGGACAAACAATAGCGCTGCCTGACCAAGTACGGTCCCTCCTTCCGTTGCGGACCGACAAAGTCTTCTCTACGTCGATGCGGACTATTCCTCTATTTGAGAGCAAGTTTGAATAACAACACCGACATGTGTGGTGAATAAGATACTCTTCGTAGCGACGTGATATAGCAGGTCCGGTTATGGGGCACTCCCGAGCCAGTACGCGTGGTCTTTCGGCATAGCCCTGGTGGTGGGCCTATCCGATTGCGATAACACATTCATTCCACTAATTTTGCGAGAAATAAGATATAAAAATGTCACTAGGTCCACGTAACTCGCTGCAGTCCTTCAACGACGCGTTGAAGGTCTCTCCAAGCCACGCCAAAGTTTCCTGGCCAAGTGTCTTTTTATTATCATCCCAAGTTCACCGGGCCAGCCAAGCAGCCAGCCAAGCAGTCAGCCAAGCAGCCAAGTGTCTTGTGGTGGCAAACACACATTGGCTACTCCGTACTTGTAACGTCGAACATCATATGGATCTTTGGTATTATACAAATACTTCGTACTCCGCCCTTCCCTCCATACACATGCTGCGTTGACCCCACCAATTCAACGGACCATGCTCATTAGAGACGCAAGATCAGCCCCGCCGCTGTAAGATAGTAAAACGAAACCGGCCACGAGGACGAAATGCCCATGAATATTTCGTGCAAGTATCGACACTTATCATCTCGGCATGTGCGAGCTTCATCTTTCGCAATTGTGAGAGCTAAAACACGACATGCAGGAACATCTAGCAAGATAGACATGTAGAGTCACTGCCATCCTACCAAATATTCCGTGAATATATGCTTTCCACCGGCATATCCTACTTCGTATATCGCATCCTAAAACGACCAGGACGCCGCGAAAGATACGATAACGGCGTGAAGAATCGCGCTTTTACTGTGTCGGAGTGCCGGTTTACTAGATTTTCTCACCGAGGCTTGCTGCATCCGGCTGCCGCCCAGGGATTGCAGGGCCCCGGCTTGATGGGCCCTGCGATTGGTATTGGGTGTTAATGTTGCTCCGAGATCGTTTTAGTAAAACCAGGGTCAAGAAACCATGTGCCCTTTCTACGGAGTACAAACACGCGGTAGGACCGTTCCACGTGCCCACACGCGAGAACTAAATGAGAGAGAAATGCAGAATAATCGACCTTTACGGCGTTTGTAATTACATCATACAGAACGCAAAACAAAAGTTTCTTGATACATTGGGTCTGACATTCCTTTACATTAATGCGGAGTACAAAAACATATTCTTTGGAGTACAGAGCACATAGTCAACTTCTCGTAGCGCTGGCTGTTATTACTGAATCTAACATCGACACGTGACTATTGTCGTGACTTGCCGTGTTGGATCACAGAAAAACGCGACGCGCTTTTCATTGTCAGTCAACCCCTGGTGGGCAGCCAGTGTCTTTCCTCTTCAGCTCCAGCCTCCACCCGGCAATGCCACAACAACAACGCACGACCATACTGTCCTTCATCCGAGTGTCTGCATGAAGACGGGTGTGTCAAACGTCTTGCACCTCCGACTTGCAGCTGTAGGAGGGGCCACACGACGAACTACCATTCCTCCTTCCATCTTCTTCCACCATTCCGTTTGCTGGTTTTGTTTATCGAGTGCCGTCTCTGCCACTGCCACCGCCATGTTCGCCCGAGCAGCGAAAACGTCCAATTCGGCAAGCGGGCCGGCTGCTGCGCCGTCCGGGAACAATAGAGCGCACCCATCTGCCGACCCGAAGAGGGCTCCATTGGCCGAATCTATCCCGAACAATGCCTCTATCAACGACTTCTACAGGCGACCTATTTCAGGCACATCGCAAGCTTCCACCTTCAAGCTACAACCGCCATTCAACCCGCCTAAATCTCGCCCAACGATTGCAAGCAAACCTCTCCAACACCGCTCGCAGAACGCGCCATATGTGGCCACGAAGGCTGTACATTCGAACACCGGTAGTCTCGCAGCCCTATACGGCAAATCCGACTCGTTTACTGCGGAACCGCCCTTGGCCGCTGCTCCAAAAGTGTGCGGATTGACAGAAGCAACTGAGGAGGAGCTGCGGGCACTCGGCGTCTGCCCAGACGATTTTGCCGATGACGAAAATCTTGACCTTGATATCCCGTGTCCTTTGCCCCTCACAAAGACACATGAAGCACCTGCAGCATCAGGTGCAGGCCCCAATCCATCGCCTCCTCGCCCATGCCAATCACCCACGCTCCACGCACCTCAAGATGACTTGGCATATTATGGTACTCACGTATCTTCCGTATCTTCGAAACGTGCCTCTTCAGACAGTACAGCCACGACCTCACCACAGCCGTTGACAAAAAGGCGGAAAATGCCAAACTGGTCAAAGACCCTACCGCAAGAATCACCTCCTAGCTCTGTAATGCCGGCGCCAAGACCTTTAGGAGCGATGTTAGATGCAACTGCCAGCGCAGTGAAGGTACAGAAAAAGCAGCTTAAGGGGTTATCAAGAAAACAGACAACCGCTGGGTTGGATAATTGTGGCCATGCCGAAGCTAAAAGCTCGCGCGACCTTCTCAGCGAAGTGAGTTCGCTTCCTAAGCCGCCTGGGCCTTTGACGCTGAGCAATGAGCAGCAGTATGTCAAAAACCTAGTTTGCTTCAAAAAGGCAAGCGTTTTTTTTACAGGACCGGCTGGGACAGGCAAATCGGTCTTGATGAGGGCAATTATCGATGATTTACGGACAAAATATGCGAAAGATCCAGAGCAGCTCGGCGTCACAGCCTCCACTGGTTTGGCGGCTTGCAATATTGGTGGCATGACGCTTCACAGCTTTGCTGGTATTGGCCTTGGCAAAGAAGACCCAAATACCCTCATCCGCAAAATCCGACAAAATCAAAAGGCCAGAAACCGCTGGCTAAAGACCAAGACACTCGTTATCGACGAAATCTCCATGCTTGATGGAGACCTCTTCGACAAACTCTCTCAGATCGGACGCACTATCCGTAAAAATGGCCGTCCTTGGGGTGGCATACAGCTCGTTCTGACCGGCGACTTCTTCCAGCTGCCTCCGGTTCCCGACCGAGAAAAGCGTGATGTAAAGTTTGCTTTTGAGGCCCTGACGTGGGGGGATTCCATCGACCACACCATCGGTTTGACCGAAGTGTTCCGCCAGAAGGATCCAGGTTCGTCATATGAGGAGCCAGCTAAACGTATTGGCGCTAGCAAGAGGAGATTCGCTAACAAGAAGACTCATTTTGGGAACAGAATTTGCACAAATGCTCAACGAAATGCGGCTTGGCCAGATCAGTGAACAAACTGTGCAGACGTTCAAGTCATTGTCTCGACCTCTTCAATTCGACGATGGACTCGAAGTGACAGAATTGTACATCCCACCAGTCCAGTGTCAGTCTCTTCATTGGCAAGCGCTTTAGCTGACTTCTGGTCTTCCCGTTCTAGATTTCCTACACGACAAGAGGTTGAGAACTCCAACGAACGGCGACTTCGCGGACTAAACCAAAAGTCCATGTTCTACGAAGCACTCGACACAGGGGAGCCTGCTCTACGTGAGAAGCTACTTCAAAACATGATGGCGCCGAAAATGCTCGAACTTCGTGTCGGTGCTCAAGTCATGTTAATCAAAAACATGGATGAATCCCTCGTCAATGGTTCTCTTGGCACAGTCGAAAAATTTATGACTGAAAGCGAGTACATCGATCTCAACGCCAGCTCTGTACCTGCTGACCCCGATATCAAGAAGAGGACAAGTATCTTGAATAGTTATCTTAACGGCGACACCTTAACAAACAATGGCAATGGGGGTGCCGGAAACAGTGGCCGTCTCTACCCCTATGTCCTGTTCCACGGCATAGGCGGTTCTACGCGCGGCATTCTTATACGCCCAGAAGAGTGGAAGTCTGAGCTGCCAAACGGTGTTGTCCAAGCTTCGCGCACCCAGTTGCCCTTAATTTTGGCTTGGGCTCTTTCGATTCATAAGGCTCAAGGGCAAACGCTGGAGCGTGTTAAAGTCGATCTTGGCAGGGTTTTTGAGAAGGGCCAAGCATACGTTGCGCTTAGTCGAGCCACAACGAAAAGTGGTCTGCAAGTACTGAGGTTCGAGAAACACAAGGTGATGGCTCATCCGAAGGTTATCGGATTCTACGGTAAGTTATCCAGCGCTGAAGCTGCTTTGAAGGGCAAGCACGGAAATGCATCTATTCTGGCTTTTACCAATCCGCCCCTGAAACATGAGACGGCCAGGACTGCGTATGGAACTGGTTAAAACGGATAAGGCTCAATGAGGCAATGTATTATGTGCACTTGTTTTTTTCAAGGGGGAGGCGACGTTCGGCGAGTTTTTACTGTATATTCTGTCAAGGGACATGTTACATATGCTATCACTGCATAGTCAATAGGCCTACAGAAAGGACTTAAAACTAATCAATTGGATTATTTGATACAACAACGGTCTGGCCATATATGTATCTCGGACCTCGAAGCTCGGACAGTGTGTATATAATTTACACACTGTCCTCTCTAGAGAGCAAAGGAGTAATCGCTTTGGTTTGGCGCATGGCTTGAGCTAGCCTTACAACTATGCCCTACTCCGTACTCCGTATGTTCAAGAATGCTTTCCCTTTTGAAATCATCCAACAACTCAAGCCCCCGTTCTTTCTGCAAGAATAAGCCTCCCGCGCCAAACCTGGTTCGTTTCCAAGTTGCTAGCTCTACCTTTGCTGTATCGGTCATGTTCCTCGACCTGCGGCAAACAATTTACCAAGAACGGCTGCGCAACTCTTTCCTGCCACCTCCAGTTATACAACAACAGCCTTAGCCATGGCAAGCGAGTTTCTGCAAATGGTCGTGGTAGTAGAGCTGCGGAACCCACCCGAGCGACTGTACGGATCGGTGACAGACTTGGAAGCTGGTCAAAGCCTGACGCTCAGCAATGGTGCGTCTTATTTCTCATGACATCGCGAGCCAAACGTGAACTTTGCTCCTCGTCCTCTTCTTGTCTCTTTCCCCTTCAGCTTCCATGTCCTAACGCACTACAGTTTGGTCCCTCAATAGCCACACTTGGCACCCACAGATTATTGTTGACCCTGGGAATATTGCTGAAATATTCGATGCCAGTAAAGACCCGCGCTACGCACATTCTCCGCCTCCTATGGTCCCCGCGCCTAATACTGAACGTATCGCCGTTCCAACCCACACCACACACGTTGAAAATAAGTCTATTACACCTGTACTCGGGGACCCGGCTATACTCTCTTTCAAGCCGCTTTCAGAACGGCCGGCCTCCAGCCTCAGCCAGAACAGGGCGATGAACCAGACGCGCCACAGCGCAACGGGGGAAGCCAGCTTCCCACCGCCAACATACACTGTCGCGGGAGTCTCTGTACAAGAGTCATCACTCCATGACACCCCTGTATCTGCAAAGGGTGCAATTGGGAGCACTCTGGAGATCTCTAATGGTACGCCCGAGCTCTCAGACAAAGTGAATGCAAATACCAACTACGCTGTTGCGGGAAATCCTGTCACTTCTTCGATGCCTGTTCCACGCATTCCGCAACACGATGTCACACCAAAGACGCGAAGGCGCCAACGCCAACAGCGAGGAGCCAAGAGTAACGAGGCGAAAGGGAGCGTAAACCTGACGCCGGAGCGGTCGAAACAGCTTGAGAAAGGGAAGGGTTGGCGAGATACACCCATGCTCCAAAGTACCGCTTCGTTTCAGCCTTTCAAATCTCTAAAAAATTCCAGCAAGCGACGGGAAAGGTCCAACCAGGATAATGGGTGGGCGTCGGAGGACGCAACCGACGTACAAGAAATGGGCGATTTCGACTTCGAAGAAAGCCTAGCGAAATTTGACAAGCACGCCTTGTTCGACCAGATGCGCAAACATGACCAGATCGACGACGCTGATCGACTGGTCACACATAACCGACAACCAGGTACCGCTGGAGGAAAGAATTTTCACCACACGGAAAATGTTCTTGGCTATTCCTTACCATCGGTCACGATCGCGTCAAAAATTGTCCCGAAAGAACCACGGTCTGTGTCAGAGGACTTTTGGAATAGCGAGGCCGACGAAACGCATACGGGGGGAGCACCGGGTGTCGGGGCTGCCAGCAGGACTGGTGGAGGGGACCGTTTGAGGGGCCGCGATTTGGGAAGCCGGCAAGGCTCGCGGCGGAGCGACAGCAAGGTTTCAAATACGCGGCTGTCCCAATCACGGAAAGCCAGCGGCGCCGGAACAGGTGGGCAAGGCCCATCAAGGGTCAACTCTATTGCTGTACGTTATCACATTTATCTCTCCAACCTTTCCGCTCCATTTTCTTGCATATCCGAAGCAGGAAACTTATATTTTGGTGCTTTGGTGTGTGCTTGTTGCTATTTTCCATACTCACGCCAAAACTCACACTGTTCTCTATCTCTTTTCATTTAGCCGCTATCATCCGCAGTTTCTACGACGCAGCACTTTTATGTCCTGCCATCGGAGCGGCGTCTTGAGACCGTTTCGGCACTGCAGATGCTCAATCTCGAAAACATCGCGCATAACGAGCTCGGCCTCTCGGAGGACATGATGACAGAAAATGCTGGTCGTGGTATTGCGGAAGTGGCTCTCGAGACTCTTTCTGACCCTGCGAACAAAATTCGTTTAAGGCAAGCTGACCTACATAGCAAGGAGACCTCTACACCTCTTGCACACGGCGGATCAGCGCCAACAATCGTTATCCTGGTAGGCAACAACAAGTCCGGCACCAGGGCCGTGGCTGGCGGCAGGCATCTGCGAAATAAAGGGATCAATGTTATTTTATGTGTTGTCGGCATTGAGCGAGGAGAACGTGAGTTATTAGACGACTTGCGCCAGCAGATTCGAACATATCGAAATTTTGGCGGCCGCGTTTACAACAAAAACGGTCTGTTTGAGCATCTTCGGAAAACAGTTATTCCCACACTCGCCGGTGATACACCGCGAAGTGCTGTAAGCGCCACTGTTCCCGCAGTCACGCTGATTATCGATGCACTTCTTGGTATTGTCGTATCCTTCGACGAGCTACGGACCGGGGATCAAGCTACCGTCTACGAGTTGATGGAATGGGCCAATCGAAACGAAGCTTTCGTTCTAGCAGTCGACGTGCCTACCGGCATTGACCCAAGCTCTGGGTATGTCAGTATCATTGACGGTGCGCGGCTCTACGTGCGGCCTCGTTATGTCATTGCTTTGGGGGCACCAAAGCGTGGCCTTCTCGAAGCGATGGCTGCTGCAGAGTTAGGAGACACAGCAGCGATGGATGCAGCCGATGACCAATCACTCGATTGGAGGCTTTTTGTTGCCGACATAGGCCTAGGAGCGGCAGTTTGGAAGAAGGCTGGCACAAAGATTCGCCGTGGTATCGACTTCGATGAGAAATGGGTGCTAGAGATGAAATATCACGGTTTAGAAACCGATGACGAATCTGTTTAGCACACATCCGATTAGTCAAGTGGCCTTCGCGGTTAGGGTCCGCCGCTGAAGTGCGCTGTACTGCCGGACGTATTGCTGCTTCTTCAGATGTTTTATCTCAGTCACTATTGATAGCTCCATCGCTTATCATGGAAACACTTATGAAAAACAAATCTTATGGAAAATAAACTAAAGCCTTGCGTGTACTGACCCGGAAAGGACGAAACTATTATAAAACGGCCAGTAGTAAAAAAAAAAAACCCGCAATTCACTGGGTATAATTCCACCCTTTTACCCCAACCTCAATCGCAATCAATTTTAGACAAGGCGTCCGGACACGGAGGAGACAACTCCCGTAGTTCCCTGTGCACCATCCCGTGCTGCTCCAGTTGCCGCAACCGCCACATCATGGCCCGTAGCAGTGGCAGTGCTCCCGGCAGGGGCAACCACCGCGACCGGCACGGCCAACGGCGCAGTCAGGCCGTTTGCGCCCTGGAGGCCCTGGGTGCTCTGGTAGCCGTTGGCACTATTAGCGGTGGCAAAATCGTCGTTGCCGTTGGCCCGGTTAGCTCCATTCACACCATTCACCCGACTGGGATTTGAAACCGGGGCCTCCTTCTTTTCAATAACCGAAGGCTTAGGGACGCTCTTGCTGGTGCCGGCCGAGCCAAGCGTAAACACCGGGCTTTGCCAGTTATCGCCCTCGCTGGCCATGGCCCTATAACGGGACGCCTTTGAGCTGAAACCGCCAGGCAAGTTAATGTGAGGGAAGATGCTGTCCTCCTTCGTGTAAGCAATGTTAAGCTTTTTGTCATCCAGGTCGGCCGCCTTCTTTTTGGCCTCCTCCTTCTTGCGCTCCTTGGAATCTTCCATGTGTTTCCTGGCAGCAGTGAAGAAGCGGCTGTACGTGTTGGGCTTCGAACCCGCCTCGTCAGGATCCACGTCAAGTTCCCGCCCAGCGCGGTCAGCATCCTGCTTGATTGTGTACAGGGTGGTGTCCCATTTGTTGAAGTTGTCCCGGATGGCCTTTTCTAGCACCTTCTGCAAGACGGGCCGCATCACGCGCATCAGAATGGGCTTGAAAACAGTGAAGAGGAGCTTGTGTTGCGATTTGTGCATTGTGATCTTCAAGTTGTCAATGTCCACATGGACCTTATCGACCTTGAAGAAATGCTGCCGGTTGCTAGGCCCTGCAGTGCTGAGGCCTAACTTGAAGCTGAAACCTTGGCCGGACAAGAAGACACTGAAAATGCCAACGTCTGTGAGAGAAGGGAAGCCCTCCTTTCTCTTGACATAGTAGCTGACATTGCGAAGGTCCATCTGAATGCCAGATACGTTGACTTGCGCAGAGTGCCTATTATTGCCGACTTTGCCCAGTTTGCGGCCCCAAGAGACATAATTGTTGTTGTAGATTTCAAACACATTGGGCATAAAGTTGTCGCTCTCCAGCACCAGGTTCTCGATGACAGCATCGACCTGACTGTCAGAGTACTCGATCCGGGGGATGGGAATGTAAGCGATGCTCTCCAGGGTGGCGGGGAGAATCACATTGGTGACATCCTTGACGAGATGGGGCTTGAAAGTCTGCTTCCCATTTTCATCATTTCCCAGATCGTACAAGAGCTTTCTGACAGACTTGCCAAAAGCTTGGTTCTGGGCGTCCTTGTCGAACTGATCAGCAAGGAACTTGACCTCGTTGGCAACTTTGTCGGTCTGCGGTCGGTACTTCTCGCGCAGGAGGTAGTTGCCATGATCATAGAGCCGATTCCACTCCTCGGTGGAGGCATCTTCGAGAACGAAACCCTTCTCTTGGAGGCAGCGGCGAAGGAAGCGATCGACTTTGCTGAACCAGGACTGCAACTCGTTATCATTGTCGGCCAACGTATAGATGTCGTTGATAGAACTCCAAAGATTGTCCGTCGAAGTGCTATTCGCAAAGCGCTCGATTAATGTTTTCAGGTCCGCTTCCGCATCCGACAGACGGTCCCTGGTATTTTGGACGACTCCATGCGAGTTCGCAGTGGTCGTCTTGGCATGGCCATGATAGCGCTCGGCCAGGTCCAGGAGTGCCTGGATGGCCTGCTGATAATCGGGGTGCTGTTGGCACTCGATAATCATTTTCTGTCACAACATTAGAAACGGCTCAGCGGAACAATGAAGCAGGAAAAAAACGCAATCCGTACCTTCAGTCTCCAAACCGCCTGATCTCTGCGCTCTTGGGGCACCTTTGATCTCAGGTAGGCTTTGGCGCGATCGCGATACTCTGTAGTCTTGTCTTGGGCAGTTTCCGCGGTACCATCCTGAAGGCCATCGAGTCTCTGCGTATCGGCCGCCGACGTACCGCCGACATCGCGTCCAGATGTTGTGCCACCTGAGTTGTTCTTGTAGAGCGCCTTGGTGCGGTTCTTCAGGTCATTCTTTGCCAAATTCGGCCGATCGTGCCAAGTGTCATCCGGTGCAGGCTCGTCGATCTGAGCCAACGCTTCGTCAGATGGTCGGACAACAGACGTTGCCTTTGACGCAGAGTCGGCAAGGATGTCCCTGAAGAGCACCGACGAGTCCTTCACTAAATGCAGGGGGAAATACGGTCAGCCCACCGCTGACGTCTAAACCAAGCCAGATTGTCACAACACGCCTGGGAAAATAAAAAAGGCTTACAAAGCTTGCGGAATTGGCCGTTCGTGATGAGCAGGTTGCCGAGGGTCTTGATGCCTTCTAGGGCCTTGTCACCATCTTGTTTGGCTTCATCCTTGGAAACCACAGCCCCAGGGACCTCAATGCTTGAGTAGTCATGACGGCTGGTCTTCCAAATGAAATCTTGTAGCAAGTTGCCGTCATTCTTGGTGAGCAGAAGAAGCTTAGCTTGGTTGACAACGTCGCGGAAATCAGCGACCAGGGCCCGGCCTTCAGACGAGAGCTTGTTGGACGGGTTGGACAAGGCCTTAGACGCGATAAAGCTGTTCAAGGTCGCATCGATCTGCTCATTGGAAGGCATCTTGCCATTCCGGAAGGCGCTGGCGATACCATAGAGTTGCAACTTTCGGTCGATGTCTTCATCCCGCTGCCGGACATTTGTCGGCCGGTTAACACCTGTCGAAGCCATGGCTGAACTCAAAAGAAAAGAAAAAAACTAGTTTATCAGGAACAATAAAAGTAAAACGAATAAAATCACAGGAGGAAATAGGGTATTGAATTTGGTAGATGGCTCATATCGCGATTTAGCTGAAAGGTTTGAGTCTGACGATTTATATATGCGTCCCCAATCCTACGTTTAAACTCGTTCTTAGATCCAGACTGGCGGCATCTTCACCTTGGATTCCCCTTTGGCTTCGGCCTACGGCGAAGTGGTTGACGTCATGGCCGCAAGCGACTGAAATCGACATAACACCGTTGATCTGCCAGGAACTTCTTTGTCGGTTGCGTATGCATAGCACTAAAGACGAAAAGCACATGTTTCGTATCCACGAGTGGTGAATTGCAGTTTAACCGATGACGAGCTTGTAACTCATGTAAATGGTACTTTCAACAGCGCTGGGCGAAGATCGCCGTTCCTGGCCAGCGATGACGCCTGAGATGTAAAATTACGCCGCGCCCTTCCAACCAGACTACAACAGTGGCCTGACCAGGCCCCCTGTTAGTACTCCCACGTACGTCGTTCGCTACAAATGACAACGTCGTATGCGAACTCGGACTACCGAACATCATAATAGCCCCCGGCAAGACCGTGATCGAACTTTCGTAAGGATAATCGGAAATCGATTCCTTGCTTGCATGATCCACAATAACAGGCCTCTGTGGCTGTCAACGTTCTAGCCACCTAGGCGTGCTACGTTCTTGTTTCAGCTCCCCACAAGCAAACGATCACAGATCCAAGTTGGCCCCGAGGGAAGACAGGCTTCGCGAATGATGTCATGATTGACAAAGGTCGTCTCCAGGACCCAAAAAAAATACTCCAGGCCTAACAAATTGAGTGTGGCACATTAGTGGAGGAGTCTCATGTCTTTTCGTTTAGCGAGGTCGTCCAGGCCCAAGATACTTTTGTTGTCAAAGCAACTGGTACGACTCATGTCGTAAGTCGTATGTTGCACAGCACACTTTAGAAACAATAATAGTGGGGCTTTATTGTTTGACATGCCGTTGTTTTCCGTAAGAAAATGGGTATGATATAAGCAAAAGGCACAAAACACAAAGGTACAACGTGGCAATGGCGCTAAGATAAGATAGAATAATCACGTGAATTGGCGATACGGAAGTCACCAGCCTAATTCGCGTCAAATGCCTCTTTTTGGCGTGTAATGTGACTTATCATTCAGTCGCTGGTTTGCAAAGTCGAGCAGAATCTACTTCAAAAGGTGGTTAGGCAATCATACAGCTATGAGCGAGCCACACATCAAAAGGGAGGACTCACCCGGTGCGGAAGCACGGAGGGAGGATTTGCTTCAATACGGAGACAGTCTACAGCCAGACGACGATAGGTTTGCAAATTTCTCTGTGACTTTGCATCAGGAGCGCACCCATATTGATAGAGCGGCACCTGGTTTGCTGACCCAGACTCTCCCGTTCGTCCAGGTACCCGAACCGGCCGCATAACCACTCGACTACACTGCTCTTTTCGGAGCTTTTCCGCTGCTTTTTCAACCCTTTGAGTGAGGTCAAAGCACAGCCCGCCGTTCTTGGGCCGGCGCGATTGAAGGCAGGCTTTGGGCCTGGCTCATCGCGACTTTCTCCCCATGACCAGCGACGTGCCATCATCCAGCGATTTATATCACGATGGAGGACAGAGGTGGGGAATGACTTTTATCCTGCGCTGCGACTCATCCTCCCGGACAAGGATCGTGATCGCAGTGTGTACGGGCTAAAAGAAAACACCATTGGCAAGCTCCTGGTGAAGCTTATGAAAATCGACAAAAATTCTGAAGACGGTTTCAACCTAATCCATTGGAAGCTCCCCGGGCAGAGTGTAATCAGCCGCATGGCCGGTGACTTTGCGGGGCGCTGCTACGAAGTTCTTGCCAAGCGCCCGTTACTGACAGAAGTGGGCGACCTACGCATCGGCCAGGTGAATGCGCTTTTAGACAAACTGGCAGATGCTAGTGGCGAATCAGAGCAATTGCCTATATTCGAAACATTCTACGAGCACATGAACCCCGAGGAATTGACTTGGCTCATTCGCATCATTCTCAAGCAGATGAAGATCGGTGCGAGTGAGAGGACAATACTTAACCTGTGGCACCCTGACGGCGAGGCTCTGTTTAATGTGTCTTCCAGCTTACGCCGGGTTTGCTGGGAGCTCTACGACCCGCAAGTTCGATTAGAGCAGGACAGCTCCAGGGTCTCACTCATGCAATGCTTTCAACCGCAGCTAGCCCAATTTCAGATCTCTACTTCTTTCCAAAATTTGGTGGAGAAGCTAGGTCCTACTCAAGACGATAGCGAATTCTGGATTGAGGAGAAGCTCGACGGAGAGCGTATGCAAATGCACATGGCCAAAGATAACAGCATGCCTGGTGGTTGGAGGTTCTGCTTTTGGTCACGAAAAGCAAAAGACTATACCGATCTTTATGGTGATAGTCTAAACAACAACAAATCCGCCCTTACACAGCACCTTAAAGGCGCTTTTGCAGATGGCGTACACAACTTGATTTTGGACGGCGAGATGATCACGTGGGATCCTCTAATTGACAAGATTGTCGCTTTCGGTACATTAAAAACAGCAGCAATCGGGGCCCAAAGCAACCCGCATGATATCACAGCACCGCGGCCACTTTTTCGAGTATTTGATATTCTTTACCTAAACGACCAACCTCTGGCGCGATACACGCTTTACGATCGGCACCGGGCATTAGAGAGGGCTGTCGTAGGTGTGCCTCGACGGCTTGAAGTGCACCCTTACGAGAAAGCCACGTCGCCGGATGTGATTGAGCCTATGCTGCGGCAGATTGTGGCCAACTCCTCTGAAGGCTTGGTTTTGAAAAATCCCCGCTCAATGTATCGGCTGAATAGCCGCAACGATGACTGGATCAAAGTCAAACCAGAATATATGACGGAGTTTGGCGAGTCACTGGATTGCCTCGTTGTCGGCGGCTATTTCGGGTCGGGACATCGGGGTGGTACTCTCTCGAGTTTTTTATGCGGTCTTCGCGTTGGTCAAAACCATATCGATGCCGGCGCCAGCTCGGAGAAATGTCTTAGCTTTTTCAAGGTCGGCGGAGGGTTCAAGGCAGAAGACTATGCAGAGATACGTCACTTGACAGAAAATAAATGGGTTGATTGGGATAGCTCCAATCCACCGTCCGAATTCATTGAGCTTGCCGGTGGAGAGCGGGCACAGCTAGAGAAACCGGACGTTTGGATCAGGCCCAAGGACTCCATCGTTATTTCGGTTAAGGCGGCGAGCATATCGCCTTCGGATTCGTTTGCGGTGAGAGAGACGCTACGGTTTCCACGTTTCCGCCGATTACGCCTTGACCGGTCGTGGAATACCGCTCTTGACACGGAGCAATTCCAAGCTCTCCGGGACCGCATCAATGAAGAAGCCAAAGACCGAAAGGAGATGCAGATAGAAGACAGACGCCAGCGGCGTCCCACAAAAAAGGCCAGGCTAGGCTTGGTTATTGTTGGCCAAGGCCGTGGAGATAAAAAGGACAGTGAAGACAGCGGCACCTTATTTGTACCGGCACGATTTCCCGACGAACAGCCTCCAGGCAACGTCTTCAAAGGCTTCACATTTTGTGTTTTGTCCGAAGCTGTACATCCTGCCAAAAAAAGCCGCGGTGAAATTGAAGCTCTCATAAAACGACATGGTGGACGCATATCTCAACGGCCAGATGCCGCCGCTAATACGGTCATCATAGCCGATAGGAAGGTCATTAAAGTTGCGTCTCTGATCAAAGCTGCACAAGTCGATATCATCCGACCAGTGTGGCTTATAGACTGCCTTTCGCAAAAGGGTGGGGATTTCCTTCTTCCTTTTGAACATCGTCATCTCTTGCATGCTACGGAAGAAACAAGAAGAGAAGCTGCTTTGGCTACAGACAAATTTGGCGACAGTTTCGCACGCGATGTGACTGTTGGTGGACTTCAAGAAATTTTAGGCGGGATGCGGCCAGCGAGAGGGAGAGACTATGATGAATCTTTTGATGTACGTGTGTTTCTCGATCAGTTGGGTGAACGCGGCCACGACTTAGGGTCCCCAAGGAGCCTCATGTTTCGGCGGTGCCATGTACACTTTGCAGCTGTGGGCACTACATCGTCGACATTTCTTATACGTCTCAAGGCCCGTATCAGATTTGGGGGTGGCCTCGTGGAAGACAACATCGACAAGGACACTACGACACATGTTGTAGTCGTCAAAACGGCAGGCACATATGGAGCTGAAGATACGGCCCGAAACTATGTGATGGATATTCGCCAGCGGCTGAGTAGCCGAACGAAACAGCCACGGATCGTTGAGACGTCATGGCTTGACGACTCGTGGAAAGCAGGCACTCTTCTCGACGAAGAGCAGTACGTGTTCGGGTGTAGCAGAATGCTATTGTAACGATACCAATTCCATCTAGGCAGCGATCAAGATAACAGCGTAGTAAACTAGTGGAACAGCTCAACGATTTCTAGTTAATGTGCCGCCCGTGTATTTATTTGCCGATTGTTAAAAACAGACGGTCTCCGATGTCGCCGAGACCCGGTCGCAGCATACCCTCATCAGTGAGCACGTTGTCAACGCCAGCGCACCAAATCTGAACGCCTTCTGGCCACTCGCTTGCGGCCCTGTGCACGCCGGGTAATGCCGCAACAATGGAGACGACAACCACGCGCTCAACGCCCCACTCGCGAAGGGTCTGGATGACCGCTGCACAGGTTCCGCCAGTTGCGATTACAGGGTCAAGAATGATCGCGAGCTTGTCTGGTCCTTGGCTTGCAGGAGTACCAATGTGGTTGGGCAAGTTGTTATAGTACTCAACGGGCTCGAGTGTGCTGGGCTCACGGTAGAGGCCGAGGTGATGAACGGGAACAGCTTCGGGAAGCAGCATCTGCATTGCATCCACCATACCGAGTCCAGAACGTAGGATAGGGACAAGACAAATACTCTGTGACGCAATTTTTGTCGTCGTATATTCAAACCCAAGCGTGGTCACATCCTAATGTGTCGGTGGGCAGTCAGTTGCCGGGGAGCCGTGATCCAATACGGGTGGCTATCGTGGCGCCACACATCAACTTACTTTAGGCCCGTCAACTGCTTGCAGCGAAGATGCCAGTGCTTCGGATGCGACGAGGAGTGAGATTTCATGGACGAGAGCGCGCACCTCCTTCGCACTGGTGGCTTTGGACCGTAGCAGGCTCAATTTCGCCTGAAGACAAGGGTGGATTGAGACGTGCACGTTGGTGGGAAGAGAGGCCATGTTGGCGAGTGTGTTTTGTGGGGGGCAAGCGTGGTGGGCAATTCCGAAGACCAGCTTGCGTCGGGTCCAAGATCAGGATGTGTTAAGGTGTGAGTATGTCTGTTTCAAGAGGAATGTGCTTCGGGTCGCAGCAAGAGAGGCGTTCTGCGAGGTGGCGGTCTGTTAAAGTAATGGAAAGGACGGAGGGCGCCGGGAATGCTCTGCAAATGGTAAACTGCTATCATAGGGGGTTCACATACTAACGTGAAATAGATAATAGTGTGTGCTGTTGAACACCCAGTTGACGAAGCTTCCTTCCCCGCGACTGAAATACACGCTGTGGTCGACTTGTTTGGCTAAGTCTGGTCATCCGCGCAAAAGAAGTGGGTGTTGGCTCCAAATCCAGGTGCCCAAAGCACCGTATGCGTGACTGATGGTCGGTGAAAGGCAAGCGGCGGGCAGGTAGCGGTTCGGTATGGCTCGCCGATAAGAGCCACTACGAAATGCGCAGCTCCGTTGAAGTAAGACGAGATAAGTGCAAAACAAAATAGTGACGTGCATTCTGTGTTAATGGCTTTCATATACGCCATAATGACAATGGCCGTAAATTCGGTTGCATATCTCTAATAGATCCGTAACCTCCGTGCAAGAAAGCGAAAACAGTGGGGCGATAAGGAACCGTCGCAAGTTCATTAAAACGTCCGACATGCGTACACAAAATGCAACAGGGATTGTGCGGCCATAGGGCGCCACACGGCGCCGCACGGCGTGCTCCGATCCCAACATTTTGCCGTGCTATCAATTATTTGGACTTTACAACAAGGGGGCCGGCCTACTTTACTATGTTGACGCGGCTTGGCTCCGGGACGGTGACCTAGTATTCCGACGCTCCAGCGTTGTTCCCGTTTGGTCCGCACCTGGCATAGCTTTGAGGCGGTGCAAAATTAATACACTCTCTCACCTGGAACGGCGGTAGTTTCAGGTCTGCCTCCGACAACTCTGGCACGGTAAAACTAGGGCTGAGCACTTTCTTATTTGACGCTCAACCCAACACACGCGCGTGTGCGTACGCACACACCTCGCTCTTCCGGAACGAAGCCGTTTTTCAAGCAGCCTGGAAATGGAACGATGGAGGGTAACATTTACACTCGTTTTATATATAATTCTGATACTACAGTGGGCCCGGTTTATATATCGTTACGTCTTAACAATCGCTTTTCGGCCATCACAATTGGGGCTTTTGTCCCGCGTATGTTCGGCGTAACGGCCAACAATATTGCATGAGACACGATCAAGGATATTTCCCGGCGCAGTGTTGCTTGCTGAATTCTTCAAGGCTCCCGGTAAGGGTCTTACCATGTCCGTTGCGATGCGGAACCCACATTGGTCCCCTGCCCGGAACTGGCCCGCTGCATTACCTGTGTTTAACGTCCCCATGAAGTCTCGTCCGGGTTGACTTTTGCCCTCACATTTTAAACCACCAGGTTATCCGTTGGCGGTGTGGAAACGTTCCCTTAAAAAGTAAGCTCGTAACTTATCGCCAAGCTTAGCTTACCAAATACCCTTCTCCTATCTATTATCTAGTTTGGTGCCGGCGAGAGCTGTGCTGTAGATGTTGCATTTGAATGTCGAGGCTTTCTCCGCTGTCAGCTTTTCGTACATGACCGAGCCAAACTACAGGCGGTAACCTCATTGCTGTCCTCGCCGGGTTGTCTTATCCCTCCCAAGTCTTTGGTTTTGGGGTTGGCCGGTCATTGTTCCAGGCTCGATTATTTCACACCCAAAACTTGAATGATAGAGCAGAGAAACCAACTGACTCATGTCATACGAAATGAAACAATATAACACGACATTATCAGAAAAACCCTTACCACAGCCCGAGGGGAAATATGAGAGGGATGATGTGATGCAAAGCACGATTTCGACATGACAAACATGTACCTCTTTCATTCGCATTAAGAACAGGAAGCAACATGTTTCCTGCAGCAGACCCATAGAATCGCCACAGTGAAACTTTATTGGCCTACCAAGCATGATGGAAGAGGCAGTGTCTGTAAAAGGAAAACAAAAAGAAAACGACGGCAGTAAACTTTGAAAAAAAGTGACACAAGAAAAACACGAATTACGATGAAAAAAAAACCTCCCAATCTACTTGGTGATCTGTGCCACCCTCTTCGACATGCTAAAGATAAGTTAGCTATAGCCGAAAACAATGGTGGCCAAAAGCAAAGATCATTATGCGGGAAGGAAACTGTACACTTACAAATCAAAGAAAGCGAACTGGCTTGGAGACGAACCGAACTCGTAGACGAAGCGGCTCGCTAAGAAGCTGCCAAAGATAGCTCTCAGGTAAGCATCAGGAACGCGTTGAATTATCGTGTCAAGTCCGATCTGGTCTATAAGGAGCTTCGGAAGCGCATCGCCAAGAACGTGCCGCCGGATTTTTTCATCCGCCCACAAATCCGACTTCTGAAGCTCCTCATCTAGAGTCGTGATGGCGACGGAAAGCTTGTCAGACAAAACTGAGCGAGACACCCCAGTCTCCTCATGCTCCCGCCAAATCGCTTCGAATTCAAGACGCGCATTTTCGCGAATCTTGTTCTGAACTTCCTTAACATAGGCTTTGTAGAACTCTGGCGCCACACCCTTGTCGTCGTGGCACATGTGCTGCCGGAAGCCAGCGTCATCAAAAGACAAGGACGCAAGTACCTCGAGAGACGAAGAGGTCACACCGCCTTTGTTGGCCGAGGCATCCTTGATCAAAATGCATCCTGCCGACTCGAGGCGGCCCTTGGCGTCTTGTGTGATGAATAAATTCGCACCTTCAACGATGTATGGGATGATCGACTTGCCATCCTTGATGATCTTGTTCACAGAAACGAGGTCAATGGATTCAGGTCGGCCACCACACGGAACAAACATATCCGTCATCCCCGTATCACGAAGGTGGTAGGTATTGCGGAAAGCTGTACCATTGGCGACAACTTCGCCCGTAGGCAGAGTAACGTTTGAGTCATCACACAGGACACGATATCCATCGCTGGAGAGCTTGGCCAAGTCAAATTGCGAGACCATGACTCGGCTTTTCGCTAGTCGAATAAGCTCCCCCTTATCAATTCCATTGGGATCGACGAGCACACCAGACCCATCTATAACGGACGTGTACTTTTCGTTACTGAGAAGAATTTCATTGCTGCCAAGATCACCATCAGGGCCTCCGGTCTGCATCTTCTGAACATGGGAAGGATCTAGCCGCAGCTTCCGGTAGATCCCTTGGACGTACTCGCGAACGGAAAGCGTCGTCATTCCATACTCGTCGTGTGGGATACCACCCAGAGTGGGCGATTTTCCAGTGAAAAAAGATTTCCAAAACGGGGCCCCCCGATCGAATGCATGTTTGGTTGCCCAATCGACCAGATCTGCCGTGTTTTCATCTGGCCCCATAAAGAGAATCTCTTCTTTCCCGTACAGATCCACTATCGGATTCTTGATGCCAGGCGTTTCAGCCGGCAGCAAGAGGTCGAGGATGCTGTCGATGTATTTTTCGAACGCTTCACGGGCTTTGTCCTGTTGTTTGGGGTCGAGTAGGATAACACCCTTGGAACCACCTTCTGGGATGTCCTTGTTTTTGCGCTGTTGTGTGCTCGCTAGACCGTAGTTTTCATCGAAAAGATTGCGGGCATTGATGCCATAGGCCTCCTTGCTTCGTGACTTGACAATCCGAATGCCGCCCCGGGCGATGTCTCTAAAGCGAAGGTGGAAGCCACGCGATTCTGAGCTGATAACGAGGAACATCCCGTACAGACGGCGAGGGTACTCAAACTCAGGAAGGAAGGAAGGGTCGAGGCGGAAGCTCAGGGCGACCTTCGTTGGTGTAAAATAGTTCGTCTTCAAAACGGCATTGTTGAACACTCGGAAAGCAGTCATGACCATTTCCTCGTGCTCATTGGACACTTCCTTGGTAATTTTGGCCCTCAAGTCTTCATCCGAAAGGACCTTAACAGTGGGTGTCGGAGCAATAGAGCGACGCTCAAAACCTGGGCCAACCGCGAGGTGGACGCTCGCAAATGACGCATAAAGAGCTCGGACAAGATTTGGATAAGAGGACACAATCTCCAGGATATAGTCCGGTGTGAATGTCTCGGTCCGGAGTCGCCGCTTCAACTTCGAAAGAAGAAGCATATGGGCGTTGTTCTTCACGTCAAGAGCGTCCGAGAGTGACGCATATTCGGAACCAAGGCGGTTGAGGAAGTGCTGAACAAACACCCAGACACAATGCCCGTAAATTGCTTCTTGCAGGCTAAGCTCGCCTGAAGCGAAAAGATTGTGGAGCTTGTTATACGGGACACAGTACAGAAGCGAGATCTCTTTGGTGATCTGGTGGATGGACTGCTCTAGAGGGGGAAATCCTCTATCGAGATTCGCAGCTGGTCGAAGGTAGATACTCATGACGGTGATACCATTTGAGAACTGTTCGACGTACTTCCGCGAGCTGGTGACACCATAGTAGTGGTATAGATCGCTAAGCGCGCTGAACATGCCGCGGGCTGTTCGTGAACGAAAAGCAACAACCAGCCGCTTCTCTTGGGAGTCTTCAATATCAAACACTTCGATGACAGGTCCAGTTCGGCTGACTGCGAGCTCAATTATTTCCTGGTAGATCTGCTTCGTGTTCTTCGTTGCCTTCGCGAGAAACATGCGGTCGCTGATGACTTCGAGGCGGGATTCAGTAGGGTCGGCGGCTGGATCGACAAACTGGCACTGGTACACGAAGTAGCATCGGAGGGATGCCCTCGGTGTTGACGCATCGCCGAGGACTCCCGGGGATCGAAACGTTTCAACCCGGAATCGCTTGGAGAGGTCAGAACCATCCAAATACTTCGACTCCAGCCTCGTCTCGTACCGAGGGCCAGATATGGCACTCTTGCCAGGCTCACTAGTGTCAATGTAGATGGCATGGTCATATGCTTCCATATCAAGGCGGATCTCCTCACGCTTGTCCTCACGCGAGTTGGCGGCAACTCTGGCAGCATAGAGGGACGTGATGTGGTTGGCAATTACGTCGACTCGTTCAAGTTGGAAATAAACATCGTCGATGCCAAGTTCGTTGTAAAACCATGTGATCTGTTTGTCGACGAGCGAATCCGGGATCCAACCAGCATTCCTGATCGTGTCCCCCACTAATAAAGATTTTTCTGTCAGCAACACCAAACTAGGTATACATATGGCAGTCCGGCAAAGTCAAGCCCCAGACACAAACGCAGGTATGGAATCTAACCTTCTTTCATCTGTTGCGATCTCCCCTTGAACTCCGGGGCAACATATCCGACCGTAGCAGATCGAAGAATGCGGTGACCATTGCCGCTTGCCCTGGACAGAGAGGAGCTGATGTGGCTGGGCTGGGGCGAAGGGTGGCGATCGGCCGCCTCTCTCACCTTACCAACCAGCTTATTCGCAGGGAGCGGTGGTGTAGAATTTGCAGAAGACATTTTTTCTCGCTCAGGTGGAAAAAAATCAACGTATTCTGGGAATCTCGTGGGAAGGTCAGTGGTGTCCAGCGTGAGCGTTCTGTGGTCCTCGGGCATGATGAGCAGAGGAGAGAAGCAAGAAAGACAAGAATTTGGTATAGAGACTCGGTTTGCTTAGGAAACGTTGAAATCACGAGGTCACCTGCTTCCAGCTGCAGAAACAGTGTCTACTTTGGCCGGGGGGGGGGGGGGGGGGGGGGAACATAATCAACCAGGGCTGAGGACCAGTTATATAAGGTTGCTGCCGGCGCGCCTGTTGGCCGCCATACCACAGACTCCTTTGTTTCAAAGGACTGCCAATCAGCGCCAAAGAATGCCGCTGCAATGTGGTCGTTCCCCCTTTCAGTCAAGAACATATCGGGTGGCGGAAGCAGCGACCGGCAGGCGACATCCACACCGCTGACGGTGACTCGAAGGAACGATAGGTCAGAGATATCACCCGCGCTTGCGGTGGAGAATAAACCCGCAGGTATCCCGGGAGAAACGTTTCCACTCTCATTTTCAGTCCTCATAGTTGTCACTTGGCTTTCCGGTATCGCGTCTATGCGTTTATCTGCTGTATAAGTCACACAACGGAGTAGCTCACCACTCCAGACTGTTGCACAGCAGATAGGAACTTTCCAATTTTAAAGACGGTATCTGTGGCGGTGGCACAGAGTGAGAAAGTAGTCCTGCGAAAATACGTACCTTCGTATGGTTCTCTTTGAGGTTCCCTTGTGCCAATAAAGCTGCAGGCCGTTCAGGGCGGCAGAGATAGGTCAAGTCACACAGATATCTGGAACGTCTTGGGTTGCGCTCTCCCGTACGAGATCCGGTTTGCTGAAAGTACGAATCCGGTCGGCGAGAGGATATGCGTCTAGGACAAAAACGAGGTCAGCGACGTACTCCAATTTGGAGTCATCGAAGTGGATACTTGGTGCGTGGCATGCAGTTCGAGATGCCATTGTCTTTACATTAACATCGGGCCCAGTGCCAGCCTCACACGGCCCGATGGGTGCAGGACAGGGGGGGGAGATAAGGACGAAGGCTTAAAGGTACAACTTACCGAAGCGAGGTGGCTGCACCACAAGTCTTACATAGACAAGATAAGGAGATGAAGGTGAATATTTGGAATGCAGTTCACAAGTGCAAATGGGAAGAGAATAGAGGAGGGCAGCGGTTTAAATCGGGGACGGATGAAGGAAGTTGCTGATGAAGACGTCGGTTGCTACAACAGATTGCAGGGTCTTGGTATGCAGTGTTGGGCCGGTTGTGCCTTAGCTAGACGTTAGTGTGTACTTTGTAAATGCCACGAACGAATGGTCTAGACGCGAAAAGGGAAGCGACAATGGGGAACAAAAGCAATAGAACATTCCAATACAATAAGTTTTACGTGACAAGTGACTGCGGTGTCGTCGATTCTTATACTTTTTACGTGTTAGTACATAAATGAGCAACCACGTCTACACCAAGAAAAGAAGGAGCCGCCACCGAACAATCCAGAGAGGGGCAGTTGACCTAAAGCATTGTCCCATACCATGCAAGGAAGGCAAATCGAGTGGTTAGTCACCGTGACCTCTTGGGCTCGTACAAGGCTATTATTTTCCTCGTCTCTTTTTTACCCTTTTTGTGTCTTATGTCCCTCGCTGCGCCCGATCCTTTCTTTAGAACACTTTTTTTTTGGTCTTGTGCCTGGTTCATTCCGAGTTCAGCCATTCAGCCATTCCCAGCTTCAACGTGGCAATAACCCTGGTCTGGCCTTGTCCACCGCCAAACTCCGTATGCACATACCATCCAGAAGTGTTTTTCAGTTGTATCAGTCTGCATATACGTAATTGTATGGCACTTTATGAAATCGCCCCGGTGGTGCCTCCCTTCCCCAACATCATAAAAAGGACATGTAGAAAAAAAACCCTCGATCGTAGGAATGGGAATAACAAAGAAAACCTGTCTTATGGCGATTCCATCAGCCGGTATTTGCTTGCTGTTTGGTTTAACTGGAATCGTTTCTGGGCAAGACCGTCGTGAGACTCTGAGCCCGACGTGATGATTTCGACTTCGATAGAGTATCTTACGTGCTAGTTCTGACATACTGCGTAGTAAAACGACATTCTCCGTTATCAATCCTAAACATAAAACGAAGTACAACATGTTCCATACTGATACGGTGAATAATGGTTGGCAAGATACAAAAGCAGCTCCCGAGCGTATCCGCACAGTGGGGACGCGGTTTTCTCCACAAGTTAATCCCACTGCAGAGAGCGGCTATTCGAGGCTCTGTGCGCCACTTTGTATTTCTCGACTTTTCAGGAAATAATACACGTACGCCTGTAATATTTGTACTGCGTCGCGTATATCGACCAGACTTTAAAGAACCAGCAACAAACAAATCCAGGACTCCAGCGTAGTTGATTGCCGAGCATAGGTTTATTGGTATCTCTTGCTCGGCCGCCTGGAAATTTGAATTTCACCTTCATACTACATACTGCTATCAATGATTCATGGTACCTTAAGATTTGCTCAGGGCTACGTCGTAATACACGTCGGACGTACGAAGTATTGTCAACTTAGTACTGCCGTCGCTCGTCCTAGTTGAGCGCAATCTTCCCCGCCTCTCCACCTCCCAAAATAGACCGGTGTGGGTTGGTGGTTTTGACCTTCGCGACCCGTTGACTTTGTCTTAATGTCTTGTCTTCAAACAATAGTTCAATGTACCGGGTATTCGTAGCAGTACATCTTTACCGCCTCTTCGTGGTCGTCACTTTGACAAACAGGTGGCTGCCAGGGCGACAGTGGCCAAGCTTGGCTGGGCGCCATGTCGACAATGGTGGAAACAACTGCAGGATACGTAAAATGTATAAGCTCAAAAACATCTCGATCAGCGATTCTATTCGACGATTTTAACAATTCGACCTTCCGACGCACCCCTGCCGGTGTGCTCGTGATGTGTCAGAAACTTTCGCAAGTACGTAAAAATACGTAACACATCAAAACGGCGATGCGCCGGTTGTCTGGCCCCAGTCAGCCGGTTGACCCCAGCCCCGCGCTTGGCGTCGAAACGGGAATGTCCTTGCAATTTTGATTACCCCTTTGTTACGGAATGTTGCCGGGACTGCCATTTCAGGTACCACGGGCTAGACCGACTAGTGGCACGATCTCCTTTCCTGCTGCCCCGTGACGTGAAGGTATTTTCCATCTCGTGTTTAATTGTCCGCCAGTTTCTCTTTGTTCTTTCGTTCCTTTGACTATTACGAAAGAGAAGTACGACATACTCCGTTCGTTGTGCGTCATACGAAGTAATACAATGAAGCTCTCCTGACGGGCCACTCCCTGCTGATACATTCGTAGGGTGGCGAGATCCAAATATTGGCAACATGTATGGGGTGTGCAGGGAGCCCGTTGGCGTGTTGCACTTACCCAATTGCCATCAATCTACGACGTAGTGTCAATTCTTGTAAGAGGACAATCTGTCGCTTTTCAGAAATGATTTCTGCAATGACCGCATGCTCCCTACTTATTTATATGTGCGCCGCTCCAGGGCGACAAGGATGAGCATGGGCTACCTATTGCTCGGCAAAAACGAATGGTTCCGGTTCAGTTCAGGACAATATAGTTCCTACAGTCTGTTCTGACCGAACACTGACCAAATTCTTATCACGAGTCTAAGGGGAGCATGATAGTTGGACTGATATAAGAGCGGTCTGACATGCTGACAAAATAGCGCTGACTAGTGGGGAACAGGCCCTGTGCAGTATACTCCGTACCGTCATAATTGTTGAAGGTGAAAAATGCAGCTCAGTTGCAGTACTTTCTCTCTCTCCTGTGGTCCTCAAAGAACGACGTGATTCGTAAGGCGACACTCGGGAACGAATCAGGAGGAGTACGACGGGTTCTTGTATTTGAGAAGGGGCCAGGGGAAAGGGGGGCAAAGGCTCCAGCAAAATTGATGGTTCTAGCCCCTCCATTTGTGCCACCAATTGGGCACCAGTGCTGCCATCCATTGCCCCATCCTTCCGATGCAATCATAAAATATTCATTGCAACAACATCTCTTGTACGGAGCAGTAATACGGCCTATGCTTACGCTCGCCACCAGCCATCACCATTATGAGCCTACTAATACCGGCCCGGGAACGTGCTCGGTCACTCGACCGGAAAGACGAGCTAAGGCGCTTTCGCAGCGAGTTTGCTATCCCGAGCACGTCACAAATCCACAGTGATACACTCACTCTCCCGAGCGACAATACGGGAGCGCCGACCGTACCTCGACGGAGCATCTACCTCTGCGGCAACTCGCTGGGCCTCCAGCCTATGCGCACTGCAACGCGCATCCAGCAACACTTATCGACGTGGGCTGCACAGGGGGTGCAAGGCCACTTCAAACCGCTGGCCGACAGCCCATTACCAACATGGCTGGATGCCGATGCTAAGGCTGCAGAAATGATTGCACCCATCGTCGGCGCCGAGACGTCCGAGGTTGCAGTCATGCAGACATTAACGGCTAATCTGCACCTGCTGCTGTCTGCATTCTACCGACCGGAGACCCGCGGGCGGCACAAGATTATTTTAGAAAGCAAGGCTTTCCCTAGTGACCATGTAAATCACACACAGCCTTGCAAAGGCTCGCACCCTCTCCCCCTCCAAAAGGATCACCAGCGTGCGGCAGTGACATAGTGCAAAAACTGCTTTCATGGAAGACTCACGAGAATATCATGCCTGCACCGGTATTTCAATATTGTACACGGTCCGACTTTGCAATGTGAGGCGATAACTAACCGGGGTTATGCTTCTAAGTAGTTTGCTGTCGAGACTCAAATTCGCCACCACGGACTGTCCGTTGCGACGTCTATGGTTGTCGTCGATATGCCGTCGTCCGAAAACCCCAGCACCGCTACCCACGATGTGATGGCAACCATCTCTCGGCATGCCGTTGACACAGCGGTGCTGCTCCTACCCGGCATCCAGTACTACAGCGGCGAGTTCTTGGATATTCCCGTCATCACTGACTTTGCCCATGCTCACGGCATCTTTGTGATCTGGGACCTAGCCCACGCAGTAGGCAACGTGCCCCTTCGGCTACATGACTGGGACGTTGATGCAGCTGTCTGGTGTAGTTACAAGTATCTTAATAGTGGGCCCGGCGGCATCGGCGGCTTGTTTGTCCACACTCGTCACAGCCAGGTTACACGGTCCATCATCGACGACCAACCACACACCGGATTTCCAAACCGGCTTGCGGGCTGGTGGGGTAACGATAAGGCCACGCGCTTTGCGATGACCACAAAGTTTCATCCTGTACCGGGCGCCGCTGGCTTCCAGCTCAGCAACCCAAGCATTTTGGACATTACAAGCCTCTGCGCGTCGCTTGAGGTCTTCCGGGAAGCTGGTGGCGTGGATGCTTTGCGAAAAAAATCCGTCGGTTTGACGGGCTTCTTGGAGGCATTGCTCAATTCTTTACCTAGCGAGTTGCGTAGCAAGTTTCGCATTCTTACGCCGTCGGTTCCCGCCCATAGAGGCGCGCAGCTGAGCCTTCTCATTGGCGACGGGTTGCTGGACTCTGTGATGGATGTGCTACTTGCACGTTCTGTCATTGCCGACGAGAGGAAACCCAATGTTATTCGTGTTGCTCCCGCACCGCTCTATAATTCCTACGAGGATTGTGTCGACTTTGTTGAAGCTTTTGAGGATGCTTTGAAGAAGGCCGGCGCACCCTCTCCGGGTGTGAATTGAGCAATTAGTTGTATGTTTGGCGCATTAACAAAAAAACATTAACAAAAAACACCCGTTATGTTTTGGGGGCGGACGAATGATCACGTTTTATCTACACGAGACCATGCTTCGTGGTCCGTAGGTCGTAATCGAATCCAGGGCTCGCAATTGATACTTACAAGATATTATAGCCAAGGGCGCGGGCAAGTTTCATATATCATCTCGTCTTTGTAATTTTAAGTGTGTACCCAGCCCCAGATGTGACTGTCACATCAACCACAGAATTTATGAAATATCCGGCATTATTGTGTCCAACCTGTCAGGCTCCGATGTCCACAATGGGCTAACATCACACTTGGGAGAGACTGACTCTGTTTCACAGGTGCACGCGCTAAGAGGCGGGACGTGCTTTTTAGAAGGCAACTGCCCCATGCCTTCCCCGACACACTTTGTCTATTTGACATATGGAATCCTTCAGCTCTTTGTGTCCCGCATCTTGGTTTCTACTACACGCGATAATAGCCACGAACTGACTGCCACCTCTTTTTGGATCTCAATTAACACTGTCGTGCTACGTGCGTTTCTTTAATCTCACACTTGTTGCTCATAGCAAATCCTTCCTCGTACCTTGTCGCTCTTTGACTTGACCAACGGTGCTACTTGCTTTAACACATTCTTGCACTATTTGATCAACAATAAAAGGCGGGGAGGCTCACAAGCACACAAGCAGGCCTCCACACGTGGTGGTAGCCACGACGCCAACGAAATTTTGTGACAAAAAACGGCAGCTCGTCGCAATGGACATATTTTGTTCTGGCACACCGGCCGGCCTTTGCGACATTAGGGCGAACACTTCACGGCCCACCGGTTACCGAAACATCGCCGGTTCTCTCCTGACCCGACCGTGGATTGGCATTATTGTACTTGTGGCTGTGACCGCAGCTGCTACAGCGTCCCCTCCTGTCGGACAACAGTTCCTTGACTCAAACTCCACAAGCTGGCATAAATATATCAGAGCACCAGGAAGCAAAATTATTCCTCCCGCTCGCATCCTCCCCCAATATACCACAGGCAACGTGACCAACACGGATGGCCTGCTCCAACATGGGTCTGGTCCGACTGTTCTTACGCGACTGGTAACAGATGACGGAGTTCCGTCCTTCGTCATTGACTTTGGTATCAATGTCGCCGGCCAGCTGTCAATTGACTTCGCCGGAGCCCACAACACCACGACAGGTTTTCCTGGTATTTCGTTAGCTTTTTCCGAAACCCTACAATACCTATCCAACCGGAGTGACTTTACCAGATCTGATAATGCTGGGGGTGTAAGTCTTGTCAACCATTATGGTATCATCTCCAGTATATTTGCGTGCCTCCCATCCTCAATGAGGATAAAACGCATTTTGTTCTTCTTGCAAGGTTCTTCTGAAACCTAACTTTGAATCTGAACCACTGATATAGAACTTAAAGCTGACATCCGGCACTGATCAAGTGAGCAAACCATCCGTACCCCCATTATCATTGTCACTCTATTTTCTAAACCGTTTTAGGTGGCCGTGAAACCAGAGCCCTATTCATGGACAAATCAATTCGGCTGCGAGTATGGCACGCAGGTGTGCGCAGATGGACTGCATGGCTTCCGTTATGTCAAAATTCGACTGGCTTCTCTACCCACTGATTCCCCATACACTTCCGCATATGGCTCGGTGTCTATTTCCGCCATTAACCTCCAGTATTCTGGTTATCTTGGCACTCCCGATACGTTTACAGGTCATTTCGAGTGCTCCGATCCAGATATCACGCAGTGGTGGTATGATGCCGTGTACACAAATGACCTCTGTACGGACAGTTTTCTTTCCAACACCACCGATCCGCGGAATGCTGCAAGTCCATCGTTACTTGGAAAACTTGTCTTACTTGATGGTCCAAAGAGGGATCGGGACCCTTATGTCGGTGATCTCGCTGTTTCAGCACTAACTACGTATCTGTCGCACAATACCAGCGAAGCGTCCTTGAACGTCCTCGAAGATCTTGCTCGTCACCAAAGAGACGACGGCTGGATACCTCCTGCTAGCATGTAAGTTTCAATTCGGCGTCGATTTCTTACGATTTCTTTGCTGCTCAAGTACATCAAGAAACAGTGTTAACAAAAGCAGCAATGACTATACTCTGCCTCTATTTGATTATCCCCTTTGGTGGGTTGTATGCAGCGCAGACTACGTCATGTATACAGGAAACGTTTCCTACTGGAATTCCTATTATAGAGTTCTTGTCAAAGTCTTAGACGAGTACTACGTCTCTAACACCAACACCGCAACATCATTGATAGAACGCCCAGGAGGTACAGGTGACTTTGCTTTCCTTCCTCGCACCGGGCCTGTTACATACTACAACGCTCTCTATATCCACGCTCTGCAATATGCAGCGAATGTGGCTCAAATTCTCAACAACTCTGAAGATGTATTACGCTGGCAAACCCGGGCCTCGGCGGTTGGACAAGCCCTCCTTAAACGAAACTATGATACCAGCGCTGGTGCATTCTTTGATGGCGGTCCGTGCTCAAACAACACCATCTGTCCAACCCACTCTCAGGATGGCAATAGCTTAGCAATTCTTTCTGGCGTTGTCCCCAGTGGCCTATCATCCGACACCAGTATTGCCGAATCAATATTGGCTTACATGAACCGGACGATGTATAGACCATATGGGAATGCACTTTTCGACAACAGCAGCATCTTGGATCCCGGTGGGGATTACGCAAACCGTGTCTATGCGTTCACCTCTTATTTCGAGATCGCTGCGAGGTTTGAAACATCGCTCAAGACCTCTCAAGGTGCCCTGGAGGAAACGCGAAGGCTCTTCGGATGGATGGCTGGACATGATCCCACAGTAACAGTCTGGGAAGGCATTGGAAAAGATGGCGCTCCGTACGAGTCTGGGTTCACATCCATGTCTCATGGCTGGTCCACAGGAATTGTGCCTCTCTTAGTTAACTATGTCCTAGGTGTGAGTCCTGCTGCACCCGGCTTCAAAAAGTGGAGAGTGAAGCCAGTTTTACCAGCTATGGATAACATTAGTTGGGCAAGTGGACTCGTGCCTACACCAGATGGGGGAATCTGGGTTCAGTGGGAAAGGCGTCGTGGGACCTTTGTATTGCTCGTCAGTGCACCAGATGGGACCGAAGGGACAGTAACCATTGCACTATCGGCTGGCGAATCCAGCTCAGTCAGCGTGGATGGAACGGTCGTCTACAGCCAGAAGGACAGAAAAGTGGGTGATAACAATGGCTACGTGAGCATTTCTCTTCAAGGTGGCAGGCATATCATGATTGTCCATTGATATTCACCGAAATTTATCCATTGGTGTTTTCCGTTTTGTTTTTCAAGAAAGTGGAATAATATCGGTTCGTATTATTGCTGTGTTATCTCGTTCCCTATCACCACCATCCGATGGTAAGGATTTGCGTTGCTTCACAATCCCAACAGGACGACAGGTAAAGTTTATTCTCGTTCCACATTTCGCGGCGTCCGAGTATTGTTTCCACAAACCGTCCAAACATACTTATCGTCACTGCTCATTTCCAAAACGGTTGATTTAACGGCCATTGGTCACCCATTTGCCCTTTTTCGTTATTTATTTTTTTTTGCGAGAAAAAAAAGTCTTAACAAAACCCCGTTCTTCTTATGAAACATAGGGTATCAGAAAGCTATCCTTTGGTGAACAATCACACCTCAGTCGTAACCTTAGCCTTCGAGTTGGTCACCTTGACGCCCAGCTGCTTCGCTCTTGCAATAATATCGATTCTCTTTCTGGAGGAGACATTGTGGGCAATCCTAGATAAAACGTCAGCAGCTGTAACAATCCGAATTTAGGTCACGTCAAAAAGGATTATGACAAAGCCCAAAACAGGCCTCGAGTCTGAAAATGAAGTGCATGTGGTGACACCTACTCCGCGGCGTATGTCCGGCTGTGCATCAGCAAAAGCTCGACGTCGTTGACGTTGCTGACAAGAAAGGCCTTGTGTCCAGACGGGGTCATGTGGCGGGTCTTCTTGTTGGAGCCGAAGCCAATCTGTCGAGCAATAATGTCAGCTCAATTCGAAGATCTAAAACGAAGTGTAAAATGGCTGTTTCACCCGCATCCATCCCGTCCTCTGTTCATTCCACGCTCCCAGTAGATTCCACGCTCTTTGTTCTCCCTTGTCATCGATCGACATCACGAACGGCTCAGTGCAGGACTTAAACGTACCGACGGCAGGACCTGCTGGCCCCGGAATCGCCGACGAACACGGCTGTCAATACCCTTGGGCTTTCTCCAGCTAGAGTCAACGCGCATAAACCGGTCACTCTGGTGCCGGCTGAAATGCTTGGTGCCTGTAAAGCCAGAAAAACGACGTTAATAACGATCCACGGGAGAGTCGATGTGACGTTGTGTTTCGATATCAAAGTTCGCGATTATCGAAAGGGCATGATGCTCCGACTTTGAGTATCGAAGGATCAGACGTACGCTTCTTGACGATAGGAACGTGCTTCTTTGCGGAAACCATCTTAATTGACGAATCGACCAGTAAGTATTGATATTCTGGAGCTATTGTTGACGGGAATATATCCAGTGTCGCATACCTTGTCGGATTTGCTGTCGTGCTTTTGACGATACGTTGTCTTAGATGCGGAAGTAGAAAGAGTGACAAAGGTAACATTAAATGAAGAAGATTTTTCTTCTCTGCCCAGTTTGCAAATTTCGCGCTAGCAGAGGGCTTTGCCTTAGGGCTGGAGCGCCCCGTGAAAAAATAATTGAGATGTGGGCCGATGAAACTGTGTGGCTGTGCCATTACCAAATATATTAGTCACGTGATGGTCCCATATTGAGTCATGTGACTCCATCTCAACGATTTCTTACCGGACTGGGGGAGAAATACTACGTCGTACTTGGTCGACAACAGATAATAAGCTGTTTACTTCGAATTTCGCGATAGAAATGAACTTTCACTACGTACAGGGTTTTCCAATAGAAACAAGATAACCCATTAAACGGAATTCAACTAAGCACACCGATCTTCAAGACTCGATAGCATGATAGTTGCCAAGTCACTATTTGACACAACCCAATGATTGTGTTTCGGAAAGTAGTGAAGATGATCTCTCCATCCGAATATTACACAGCCCAGGAACTTGGTGCAATAACACTCTAAGCTGCTTTCCGTCGTTATCAAGCTCCCTAAGTATAGTACGCATTTAGGGGCATCTGAAATTGATAAAAAAAAAGTACTGCCAACACCCCCAAGGGCGGCAGAGCCCTCTAAGTCTGTTGTCTGCAGCTGTAACGGTCCAACATGCTCTGCTATAGAGCTGAATTTCTACAAAGAACAAGGAGAAGGTCAGGATAAATTGACGTTAAGCGCAGTGGATAATTTTCATTTGTAGAGAATAGTAGTTTCTTTGTCAGCAACAAGTGGAACCTGCCCCGCCTTCTGTGGTAGGCAACGAAACACGCTCTATCTTATCTTCGCTCATGCATCGACCCAGATACCGTTGGGCACAACGACGATAATTTAAGTAAGAACGCTCCATCGTCAACAGGATGGAGGCCGTGTCGCAATTCTGGGGCAAAGGTATGCGTATTCTAGACTACTTATAACAACACCCTATCTAGCAAAAACTCCCATAGACCGAGAAAGGGTTCTTTGCTAATTTCATGACGCCTGGAAGGCCTCGATACCAAAGTTGATCCAGTTCGAGATGCTCTATACAACTACGATGCCGAGGCCCAGAAAGCAATCAACGACGATCGCCCATGGGCAAGGGATCCAAATTACTTTAAGATGGTTCGCATCAGTGCAATTGCTCTCATCAAGATGGTGATGCACTCCCGGTCCGGTGGCTCTCTCGAGGTGATGGGCCTGATGCAAGGCTATGTTGATGGAACAACTCTTGTGGTCACAGACGCTTTCCGCCTGCCAGTAGAAGGCACTGAAACACGAGTCAACGCTCAAGACGAAGCAAACGAGTACCTTGTGGAATATCTGAAACTTTGTCGTGACCAAGGCCGCATGGAAAATGTCATAGGGTGGTACCACTCGCACCCTGGGTATGGCTGCTGGCTCAGTGGCATCGACGTGAGTACTCAAGCAATGCAGCAAACATTCAACGATCCCTTTGTTGCCGTTGTTGTCGATCCCGACAGAACGATCAGTGCTGGAAAAGTAGAGATTGGCGCGTTCAGAACATATCCTGAAAACTTTAAGGCTGCAGAAAGCGGCCCAGGGAACTACTCGGGCGCTGCGTCGGATGGTTTCCAGTCTGTTCCACTAAATAAAGCGGACGATTTCGGAGCTCATTCGAGTCGTTATTACAGCCTTGAAATTGAGCACTTCAAGAGCTCCTTGGACGCCTATCTTCTGGACCTCCTCTGGAACAAGTACTGGGTCCAAACACTGTCCCAAAGTCCCCTCCTAACTAACCGAGACTACGAAAACAAACAAATTCTCGACCTCGGGCAGAAGATCAAGGAAGTCACAGCCACAATCCAACGTGTCGGCCGCGGTGGTGGCCAGACAAGTGGCACTGGGGTTGGTTCGGCTTATGGCAGTGGTGGCATGGCAAGAAAGTCAATACAGCAGGCGTCGGAGAGAGTCGAGCGCAATAGTAAAATTCTCGCGGCGAGAGAGAGATCAGGTTTAATGGCCAGTGACATAAAGTCAAACGTCTTTAACTCGGACCCAACAAACACTGGCGCCAGCGCTGGGACAAGTACCGATTCAGCAACCATTACAAAACCTCCGTTGGCATAGACGGTCTACATCATATTTGACAAATCCTGGTTTTATGTCACGGCTCATCGGCGGGGTTGACACATTTCCTTTATCGTCTTTCTCATGATAACTACGGAGGCAATGATTTTGAGCTCGATTCACATAGGCAATGAACTGTCCGATAATTATCATTGCGTGTGATATGTCCATTATCTAGTATAATAAATCACAAGCAATGCATACCAACAGCCCGGAACTAGTAATCAGAAAACTAGTCCAACCGAGAGTCGGTAACAGTACTTGCGAGTCGGAGTCTGCTCAGTGTTTCGGATCTACCGAGGTATTCCATGAGGTGCGATATTTGCGGTCCCTTGTTGAGACCAAGAAGACCCCAGCGCAAAAACTTGTAACCAGCCGCCACCGGCGTACCTTCGGCCTCACGGTACGTAACACGCTTTGTAATGTCTCCGAGTGTGGTGTGTATCGTGTCTGCAGACCAATTCTTGTCGTCAATATGGCCAAGTTGCTCAATAAAATATCCCATAACACCAAACGTAGAACTAGGTGCTTCATCGATGAACAAACTAGCGGAAACTGGTAGAACGCCAGGAAGTAACTCCTTGATGTATATGGCTGGTGGCTTCCAGACAAGATATCGAATTGCGTGGAAAAAGCTAGGTATGGTGACCGCGTCATTTCGACAAATCCGTACAGCGGTACGGATGCGATTACGGATGGGACCGTCATCCAAGTTGCCTTCATAGGGATGCAACTGAAATATTGGCTCACCAAGCAAAGAAAGTGAATGTCTATCCGTCAGCTGCTCTTGCAGGCCGTCTGCCGAAGGGCGCTGTCTTTTGGCCTCGGTCTCGCGCACCAGCTGCAGCACTGGGCCACCGATGTATTCGTCGACAATGCGGTCATTCTCCAACGACGGGTTGCTGAGAGCCATCTGAATGTGCTTTTTGTGGAAGAACCCCAACTTCTCCGTGTTGACAACGATATCCCCCTTGGTAAACTTCAAATCAAACTAAATGACATATAAGCGACATATTCCAAAACGTTTTCGGAATTCACAAGGCTAGATTTCTCACATTTTTGACCATGTCGTCAAGGCTCATGACCCCCTTGTTTGACGATTTGGTGGGATTCCATCCAAGGAGTGCCGAAAAGTTCAACAGCGCTTCTGGTGGTACGCCATCTCGTTTGTACGAGTCAATTCCGATGTCCATGTTCCGTTTGCTCAGTTTTTGCCGATGGGAATCGACAAGAAGTCCAACGTGGGCAAACTTAGGTGCCTCCCAACCAAAGGCATCATATAAGCTCGCGTGCTTAGCAGTGGATATAAGCCATTCCTGTGATAGCTGGTCAGTTACCACCGGTCTCTTTTACACCGGCCACCATTGGACAGTCATTGAAAGAAAGAAAAGAGCGTCAGTTGGTAGCCATTTAATAACTGGGAGGGAGGCATACTGCACCACGAACCACGTGTGTGATCTCCATAAGATGATCATCAACAACATTAGCGAAGTGGTAGGTCGGGAAACCGTCGCTCTTCATGATGATAAAATGGTCTTCGGGTAGCTTTTTCTTGTAGAGGCCGTACACGATGTCATAGACAGTTGCCGGGTTGGGGCCACTGCGAAATCTGACAGTATGTGCCTCTCCTTTCGCCGCTCTGTCTGCTGATTCATTTGCAGGGATGGACAAACACTTTCCCGGGTATGTACCAAGTGTGCCGTCTGCCTTCAAGTTTTTATGGTAGTGTGTGGTCATATCATCGTACGAGCAGAAGCAACGAAACGCTTTGCCCTCGTGTAGAAGTCGGTTCACGTATTGTTGATAAATGTGAAGACGTTCAGACTGTTGACAAACGTCAGGTTATGATGATACTCCAGCCACATATGTAACCTGCTGTTTATGCCATACCTGCTTATAAGGGCCATATGGGCCGCAACAGTCGGGACCTGTCAAGTTGTTAGATTGTGCCATTCAGCTATTTGACAAAACACTGTACACCGCCAGTACGGGCATATTGACCTTCGTCCCATGTAAGTCCTGCCCACCTCAGGTCATCGTATAGGCGGTCCTCTGCGCCAGGGACAATCCGTGACTGGTTTGAAAGCCTTGTTTAGATACGGATACGGTCGGATACGGCGTAGCAAAATAGCGCCTCCTACCTGATCTGTGTCTTCTAGTCTGAGTATAAACTTCCCATCGGTAGCGCGGGCTAAAAGGTAGTTATACAGTGCCGTCCGAAGAGACCCGAGATGAAGATAGCCTGTCGGAGACGGTGCAAAACGTGTCCGCGCGGGCCGGTCAGGTAGCTGTCTGTGTGTGGCTCGGCCAAGCTGCCGGTTGGAGGAAGGAGTGGAATGTGACGATGTGGACGAACGTGCTCTAAGTGTACGGTTCAAGTAGACGATATATGGTTGTGTACCGTTGGGAAGGTAAGCCGCTCGGCCTACTGGCATAAAGATATTCATTGCGTTTCGTTGAGCAGCTCAGCAGTTACAACATTGCTCAATGGTGCCCCGGTCTACCACCATGCCTGACCATCGGGTGCGCCAAGTGTGATATTATGACACAACCCCACCGTATAGTTAAGACTTTTTTTTGTTCAGCTTTAGCGAATTAAGGGCGCTGGCCCATATGAAGTCGATGTCGGAGAGTCGGGACATGGAAATTCTGGCTCCCAATAGCCTGGACACATGTGTACAAATAAGAAAAAAAAACTTACGTAATTTGAACACTGCCTCTGATTGGCCAACACACATGTGTGTAAATAAAACATCTAACATAATCGTTTTTATAACCAATATCGTTAAAAAATATCGTTAAAAGTTCGTTAAAGTGTAGTATAAACTATTATAAATAGTTGTGGGATAGGTCTTCACAATTAATTAGTTGATGAAAAGTATTAGTTTCGAGGACGAAGGTAGGTTTATATTATAACAAAGACTAATTCTTACCCCTTCTTCCTTTTAGGACGAAGGGGGGTCCTAGTATTTAAAAAGAAAAGGTTTTTTATTAACGTAGTGTTAACGTGTGGTTAATAAGAACTAGTCACACCGTGTTTTATTATATAAGTCTAGTTACTTAATTCGTAGTCTTTAGTTACGAATCGATTATAATGATTTTTTTTTTCGATAAACTAGGTTTTGGTTTTTTTACGACTTTTTTTGATCTTATTACTTTTAAAATATTTAAGTAAAAAGTATTAAACGTATTTAAATAACCGGTTTATTATTAAACGTTAATATTTAAATAAATATACCGTTTTAAGTTAAAATATAAATACTTATTTAACGTCGTCGTTTCCGTAAAGTATACGGTAATTATATAATAAATAAGTAACGACGAGTATTCGTAAGTTATTTTTATTTAAAACGTTTAAACATTCGTAAATATTGTTTCTTTTATAAATGTTATTTATTTTAATCGGTTTTTTTTCGTACGTAAGTATAAAGTTAATTATTCGGTTAAGTATTTATAACTCGTTTTTATATTTTTACTTTTTACTCGTCTTTAAATTTAACGAACGTTTTTTTAAGTAAATTATTTTTTACCTATAAAAGAATCGTAGTTTATTTTTCTTTCCTTTTTTTCCCTTTTAACGTTTTATGATTTTATCGATTACTTTTCGTTTATAAATCGTTAATCGAGTTTTTTTAATAACTTTTTTTTATTAATATATTATAATTTATTCGTTCGAAAGTCGTTTTTAATTAATTTTTTTAATATATCTTTTAAAATACTTTAACGTTTAAACGTAGTAAAAATAAGTCTTTAAACGATATTATAACGAGAATTTCGTAATCATTTTTTATTATCCCCTTTTTTTATATAATAACGTAAATAACTCGGGTTCGACAGTTTAACGTTTTATAACTGTATTAAATTATACATTTATTCGACGTATTATTAACTCGTTTCGTCGTTCGTTTATACTTTTTTATATCAATTAACTTATAATATCGAAGATTAATAAATACGTTCGTATTCGTATTACCGTTTAACGTATTAAAGTTAACTTATTTATAAGTCGTTCGTTGATCGTTAAACTTTTTTAACTTTAACTCGATACGTTACGGGTTATTTAATAAATAGTTTTACCGTTCGTAACAGAATCTTAACCTTTACTACTCTTTTTTAATTTATCAGTTAGTTCGTTTACAGTTTCGTTTATTACGTCTTTTAAAACTATTTCTTTTATACTTCGTCTTTTAATTATTAACTTTTTAAACTTAAATCATTTTTAATTACTCGGTAACTTTATAGTTTACGATATAACTACCCTTTAAGTATAAATCGTTCTCGATTAATTAATAATTTTACTACTTATAATATAATCGGAAGTTTATTTAACTCGACTCGTTTTTAATGTATTACGACTCTCGTTGCTTTTACGATTTAACGACGTATTATTAATAACATTATTCTTGTTTTTTTTTTTATAATACGGGTTACGTGTACAGACTTTTTAACGTTTTACTTATAAAATATTCGATTATAACGTTTTTAACGACTTATATTTAAACGACGATAATAATCAAGGTTAGGAATTAGTATTAGTATTTTAGTATTTAGTATTAGTATTTTTAGTTTTAAAATACTAAAAATACTAATACTAAGTTTTTTTTCGAATACTAGATTAATAATACTTAATTTTATATTTTATAAATAATAAAAAGAGTAATATTTCTTTTTAAATAATAAATAAATAAAATAAGTAATAAAACTAATATAAAATAATAGTATTTAATACTTTATAATACTTATATTAAACTTAAACTTAAAATTAATTCGAGCTTTATAACGTAAAAAGTAAAATATCACTTTTTAAAAAACGTTCCTTTACATTACGTTTTTTTAAAAAGTATCTTTTTACTTTTTTTTAATCAAGAATTTTACGGTTATTATACAAAAACCGTTTATTTTAATATATTTACGTTAAATACGTATTTTATTATCATATTCACCGTATATATTTAAAAATTAAAATGATTTTCAGTTTTAACGTATAAAAAGTAATATAT